ATAAATTGGAAGTTTGTGAAAAAAATCCTTCAAGTGTTTGGGAAAATTTTTTCTCATATTCATTGAATAGCGAAAAAAGTTTTCATTGCCAAAGGCTTTAAAAACATCAAAGCGAGTGCGAGTCTGAAATGAATAAATACTTCTTCTTTTTTTTTGCATTAAGTCTAATCGTTGTAAAAGTTTCGACAAATTGAATATGCTATAAGTTGATGGTTAGAAAATTAGTTTTTTCATTGGCCAATATTCTCTCTGTTTATTATTATTCTTCAATAGTAATAAATTCACACGTGAGTAATCGTTCTAATTTCTTTCTCATAAATCACTGCCATCACATTGTCAAGTGCAGTTTAAAAATTAATTAATCTTTTTTTTTTAGAAATTTTAGAAATTAGTTCATTTTCAAATTGTAAAAATTAATGACTCATTTTTTACTGGATTCATTTTTCATTGTGATAATTATATTCACAAATTTTTTTTTTCAAAAAGAAGGGGTAAATTTAAATTGTTTTTTAATAAATAAATTTTTTAATAAATTTTAATAAAATGTAATAGAACATTTTTTGGAATATCTAATAATTTTTTGAGTGAATCAGAATATTCTTGAGGATCAGGAAAAAAGTCAAAAATCAGTCAGTAAAAAGTCTGAAAATCAGAGAAAAATTAGGGAAAAACAAAATTAAATTTCTGTGGTAACCCTGAGATTGATTTTGCCATTAAAAATTAAGAATTGACCGCACTAAGAACATTATTTATATAATCTAATGATAAAGTGAAAACAGTTTGCAACAAACAATTGATAATGAATAATTTTGATTTTACAATCGGAAAACGGTTAAGTCCATTTAATTCAACTTGTGTCTTTTGAAAGTGCAATGCAAGTATCAATTTTTAAACTTCTTAGCTCTAGAAATCTTTAATTGCAGTTCGACTCGATGAATGTTGCAAGTTTCGAATAGCTATTCTGTATGTATATAGTATATAGATATATGACTGGCCTAATTTCACAGTTTCCTCTTGCGACTTGAACTGATAGTTTAATTCCACTTCCGTTCACAGAAGGAGATGTCATAAAATTAAGTCCGAATTGAAGCTCATTTTCAAAAAGGAGAATTCGTATATAAGCTTCTTATAAAAATAAGAACATATTTCTCCTTTTAATCAGATTAAATACCAATTTACGAATGTTCTTTCACTCACGTTATAATCTTCTTCTAATCTCTCATTTTTTTCTTTTTTTCTTTTTTTTTTTTGAAAATCATTTCTATTAAAAAATTGATGAAAATTCACTTCACTAGCACTTGAGGAATATCTCTGAAAATGATCATTGATAGGGCTGCAGTGAAATAATACTAATAATATTTTATGTATTATTATGTAATAAACGGGTGCAAAGAATTTGTTAAATTTATTTATAAGTATTTAATTTCATTAAATTATTTATTTATCATTTAATTTACATCATTAAAAGCAAACAAAGTATTTTTGTTTGAAAACATTTTAAAAATAATAAAAATTGAAGATTTATGTATTAATTAACGACATGTCCCGTTATTTCTATAAATAAATTAATTAAAAATCTTTGAATTCTTGCAAATAATTTTGTCAAAAAATTTAAGAATAATTGAATTTCTTAACAGAATTTTTATTATTCATTAAAATAATTGAATTCTTTCAAAAAAATTTCTTTAATTTATTGAATATTATCGATTTTGCTTATAATTGTAATTAATTATTTTAATATTAAAATTTTATTAAAATTATTGATAGAAAATAAGAAATCTTTTAAACAATTTTTCTAGAGTTTTTGTAAATAAATTAAATTCTTTTGAAGAATTTCTTTAAGTTTTTTTTGAGAAATAAAATTTAGTTTTTTGAATAATTTTAATTGGAAATTTTTAAAATAATTGATTTGAACAAAGAATTTTTTTTTAATCTTTTAAAATAATCGTGTCTCTTAATAATTATAATTAAATATTTGATTATTGAAGTTTATTAAAATTGACTTGAAAATAATTGAATTCCTTAGAAGAATTTTATTATTTATAAAAAGTAATTTAATTCTTACAATAAATTTTATTACTCATAAAAATAATTGAATTGTTCCAAAGAATTTATTAAAATTTTAGAAAACAATTAAATTTTTTAAAAAATTTTACCATTTATTTTAGAATTTATAAAAATTGAATTGTTTCGAAGAATTTATTAAAATTTTTTTAAAAAATTGAATTTTTTAATTAACTTTTATTGATATTAATTGAATTTCTGCAAAGATTTTACTATTTTAAAAAAATAATTGAATTTTTGCAAAGATTCTACTATTTTAAAAAAATATTTAAATAGTTTCGAAGACTTTTTTAAAATTTTAGAAAATAATTGAATTCTTTAGTGAAATTTTTTTCAATTTTGTTGAAAATAATTGAATATTTTGCAAAATATTCACAAATACTTGAACACGTAATAGTAATATTTTTAAAAAATATAAATGTATTTTAAAAAAATTTGATTTTTAAATAATAAAAATATGATTCAAATAAAAAATCCGATTTAGATAAAAAAATACGATTCCACTAAAAAAATCCTATTGAAATAAAAAAATTCGATTTAAATAAAAAATACGATTAAAATAAAACAAATTTTTTTTATTTTAAAGCCATGATTTTTAAATAGAAGAGGATAAAGACTGTAAAAGAAACGATTCTGAAAGGAAGCATAAAGCCTTAAAAGTATGAGGATTAAAATTCCAATTACAATACTCGACTAGACTTTGAGAGCAAAAATTCATTTAAATATTGAAAAGTACGAATGATTACAAGTAATGACACTAGATACAAAGTACCTATACAAAAAATAATAAGTTTTAAATAAGAAATTTTTTTTTTATTAATAATTTTCGATAACAGTTTTTAAATTGAAATTTTTGAAGCCAATAGAGAGCTTTGAACCATCAATTAAGTGGATCGAATTATCACTTTGGAATTAAATTAAACTCTATCAGTTGTGGTTTCATGTGCCTCATTATTACGAGACATAGCAAAGTTTGGAATGGAACGAGAAAATTTTGATGGAATGAAAACAGGTCGAGTGCAATATCGTCTCGATTTAATGGAAATTCCCTTTTTTTTAATAACGCTGAATTATTGTCTAAAAAGAAGGGAAAAAAAATGCTCTCCCATCTCTAGTTCATAATTTTTTTTTTTTTTTTACTCAAATTAAGGAAATCTTTATAACGATCCTATTAAAAGTATCATACTACATTTTTTTTTCTTTTTGCACTGCAGTAATTTAATAACTGTATTTTATTGAGATGTAAAAACTTTATTATATTTAATACATTATTAAAGGTAAAGAAAATCTTTTTATTTCATTCTCTTAATTTGAGTTGGGAAAAATGTTTAGTAATTTGAATTAGTGACTGACTTTTTGATTTAATTAGTAAACTTCACTAATAAATTAGAAATTAGAAAATAATAATAAAATAAATATAATAATTTATTTTCCAAATTTTTTGAATTTTCATTATGGTGAAATAAATACTATTTCCAAAAATTGCGTTTAATTTTTAATTTAACACTCATTTGATCGTCACGTTTTTTTTGTAAATTTTCACTACTCGTCTTAATTTCATGAAATTTTTCTATTTGTTATTTTTGTGCTTGCCTAAAATTTTCCATTCATGATTCATTTGGTCTTTGAAGAGAAAAAATCAGTCTCTATTGGTGATATACAGACAGATAAGCGTCAAAGTTTTTCTCCTACTTTTTTTCCCTCTAAAATTGAACTCAACTTGATCAGCGCATTGCAGTCTAATCAAAACTTTTCACTCTACCTTCCATTTTCTTTTTTATAAATAAAATTGATAATAAATGGAGAAATCTTTTAAGCAATTTATATACATTATACGTTGCATAACTTTTCTCAAGTAATAATCAGATGTACATTAAATTACTTGATAAAAATTTTTTTTAACTTTTTTAATTAATAATTAATTAATTAATTTAATTTTTAATTTTTAACTAATTAATTGAAGTATTTTTTAACTCTTTTCTTAATTATTTCACTATTTACTATTTTTAACTATTCTCTTCTTTATTAATATTATTTACTATTTTTAGTTTCTTTTTGTTGTTGCTGTTAACTATTGAACTATTTTCTATTTTACCTGAAGGTAAATTCACTACTTAACTGAACACTTTTTACGATTTTATTGTATTAAAATAATATTAAAATCACAGTTTTATATTTATTTCATATTTCTCTTTAAGCGAATAGTTATTTATAAAAAGAAAATTATATTTGTTGATTTAATTTTCGATATAAATGTAAAATTTCTACGAAATAGATTTTACTGTTTTTTTCGTCTTCTTCTTTTTTCTTTTTCTTTTTTACTTTAAAAGAGTATGCTGTGATTTGGACTAAAGCCAGTCGTGAATTTCTTTTGTCTGTAAATCATTTTCAAGATACAAGAAAAAAGTGTTATATTTTATTAAAGAAGTATTCGTCCTTTTTCCACTTCATTGAAATCGAGTTAAATCTTGTATTTAATAAAATCTGTGTGAAATTTTTATTATTTTTATTATACTTATGCATAAAAGATGTTTTCAATTCCAAATGTCGAAAGGAATAAAAAAAAGAAAATGACTCACTATAGTTTTGCTCAACTTTTTTTTCGACTATCTAATAATTTTTAGAGCAAATCAGAATATATTCATTAGAGTCAGGGAAAAAGGGAAAATCAGTCAGGTAAAAGTTTGGAAATCAGGAAAAAGTCAGAGAAAAAAAATTAAATTTTTCCATCAACCCTGAATTATTAAATAAAGTTTACGTATAGCTTCACATAAAAAAAGTGGTTTAATACGTGTTAATTTATTATCATTATTATTACAGAATATAAAAACATTTATTGCCTGAAATCAGAATAAAATTGCGAAATTAACTTATATACATAATAAATGACAAAAAAAAAAAAAAAAAGTCGTGAACAAAATAAATTTTTATTATAGATTCATGGCCATATCCCAATAGCCGTCAATTACACAGACCATCATGAAGACTCAGCCACCGAGATTCAATTCTCCTGGAGTGTAGTCGATGCAATAAAGTAGTCAATATAATACCAATTGAATAGTATGTGGGTTATCCGAATAATATCACTCGAGTGACAAATGCATCAAGTGAACAAAATAAAATCATTAAATATAGACGCGAAAGGAGATAGTTTCAATAAAATTGAAATTAATATTAGTCATTATTGTAAATCAGTAAGGATTAATCGGTAATCCACACATAAATCATACTGTCAATTCCAAGAATGAATTTAGTTAGTCAATCAAATAGTAAACCCTGGCTGTGTAATTCTCAAACATAATCGATAGTGTTCAAATTTTTCTCATATATATATATTTATTATAATATAAAAAAATTAGTGACCAAAATTATCAGTGATAATATAGAATTTATTAGCTGGAAATTCTTCGATTATAGTTTCGGGAATTTCTACCGAAAAAAATACGTTTAAAGATTAGAATTGAAATTCGTTATCACGGACAGTGAATTTTTTTTGGAAAAAATTGATACGAAATTTATTTGTTATTGTTGTCGTTGTTGTTGTTGTTGATACGAAAGTGTTAAAAAAAATCAAGATGGCATTCGCAGCCGCCAGGATGATCCTTAAGGACAAAAGAAGGAAGCCGAGTAAAGAAGATTATACCCCCAGAAATAGAAGCAAGGTAAATTTTTAATATCTCATCTCATTTCTCCAGACAAAAACTATACATTTTACTTCAACGCTTTCAACGAATAAAATCTGCCTAAATTAGTGTTTTATTCAAATTTTTAAGATTTAAAAAAATCTTTTGTGTATCTACAAAATAAATTATAAAATGTTTGCCTAACAATAAAAAATCTTTGAAAAAACAAATGTTTTTGCAACTGTACTTAAAATGTTTTTAAAACGTTTATCGATGCGAAAACATATTTAAATTGACATAAATGATTATTAACTGTATCTATATTTATTATTTACTATTTATTATATTTTTATACCCCATTTACAAGATTAAATAATTAAATAATAACAATTTTATTTATTACAAAGGAAAAATTCGTCCTTTTTAATAATAATAAAATTATTAATATTATAATTATTATTATTTTGTTAATTATACAAATAATAAATAATAATAAATATGTAATAATAATAATAATAATATTACTATTATTCTTGTTTTTATTTATTATTCTTTTTTTTACATATAATCTTCGTGAATGTAAGGAAAAAATTTTCCATTTTCTCCAGAAAATTTTGTGACACATTTTTTTTATTGTAATCAGTTGCTCGCGCGCTGCTATTACGCTGTCTGCACGAAAATACATTCACGCCTCAAAAAATCTATAGCGAACAAGAATTTTCTGTGTTTTGTTCTTCTTTAGTGTTATTATTTTATGACGAAATTTTACAACTTTTGAAACAAAACTCAGTGAACATTCATGATTTTGTAAAGTTCTACCCATTCTACAATGTCGACAGATTTCATAAAGATTTTTATCACTTTGGTATTAATTATTTAAAAAAAAAAAGTAAAAAGAATTCGAATACTGAGAAAAAAGGTAGAATAATAGAAAAAAAAATGAAAAATTCATTTTTGAGAGAAATTTTGAGAATTTCAATTACCAGATGAATTAAATAATTTCTAAACATAAAAGGAAATTAATAAAAGTAAAATTAAAAGTAAAATAATAAATAAAAATAAGTAGATAAAAATGAATAAATAAATAATTAGAAATGAATAAAATAAGTAATTGAAAATTAATAAATGTGACGCTCCACGAGAAAAGGGACCTTATGACAAGAGTAAATAAGGTCCCTTTTCTCGTGGAGCGTCACAAATGAATAAGTAAAAGATAATAATTAAAAATAAATGAAAATGAATGAATAGAAATAAATAAATAGAAGAAAAATAAAAATAAATTCAGGATTGCCACAGGTCAGGGAAGTTAGTGAATTCAGGGAAAATTACTTATAAAATTATTTAATGAATGATTTTACTTAAAAAATTTCAAAATTAATTGGATTTCAAAAGAGTTGCGTTTACAATAAATAAATTCAATTATATTCAAAATTTTTTTAAAAATTCACATTAAAATTTCAATTATCTTTATAAATAATAAAATTCTTCTCCGCAATTCAATTATTTTAAAAAAATTTAATAAAATTCTTGTCAAAATTTTAATTATTTTCAAAAATTTTCATCATTTCAATTATTTCCAATATCTACTATTTTAATAAAATTTTCCAAAAGAATTCAATTATTTAAACAAAATATTAATAAAAATTTCCCAGCAATTCAATTACTTATCAATTTTCTATAAATTTCTTTGCATCAATTTAATTATTTTTAATTTTTTTAATGAACTTTCTCAAAGAAATTCAAATATATTCAGAAAATTCAAAAAAAAAAAAATAGTTCTCAGAAATTCAATTATTTCGAAAAATTTAAATAAAATTCTTGTAAAAATTCTATTATTTAATGTTGACAAAATTCTTTACAAGATTTAGTTAATAAAATTGCAATTTTAATAAAATTTTCCTTTATAATTAAATTATTTTCAATATAATTTTTCTTAAGAATTCAATTATTTTTACAAATAATACATTTTTTATGAGAATTCAATTATTTTTAAAAATTTTTGATAAAGTTCTTCATAAATATTCAATTTTAAGAAATATTTAATTAATTAATAAATTATTTATTTTTGTATTTAAATAATACAAAATTTTTTTGAAAATCTAATAATTTTTGTAGTGAATCAGAATAATCTTCAGGTTTCAGGGAAATAGTAAAAATTTTTTTTCTGAAAATCATGAAAAAGTCAGGGAAAAACAAAATTAAATTTTTGTGGCAACCCTGAAATTGGTACACAATGTAAAATTTGCAAAGTGATAAAAACTGTGATAATTAAAAAATTTTAATTCTTGAAAAAATTTGTAGAAAAATAAAAAAATTTCGTTCAATTTAAAATTCAGTGCATTAAGAATGCTGACAGGAGAAGTAATCTCCTTGGAAAATCTAGAAACGTTGTTTTAAAAATGTTACAACTTAGAATAAGACTTCTTTTCATTTTTTTTTTGTGTGATATAACTATATTATAGAGTTGTCTTCTGTCTTTACTGCTTTCTCTCTTCCTTTTATGCTGGAAATCCTACCAACCATGTTGCAAAATGGCTTGACAAAGTAATGAAATACTTTGCACATATTATCTCCGCTTACAAACTGCCACAACATGTACACAAAAGGCAAAAATCACTAATTGAAAGGACAATAACTTTATATTTTATTATTCCACGAAATAATATTTTTCTCAGGGGGGAAAATTTACTAAATTTCTAAATAATAAATAATGGACTAAAAAAATATATTTTCATTCCAATAACCGATTATCAAATGGTTTGATATTCCAAACCAATTATTTGTATCAAATGAAAGTGAAAAAAATATAAAATAAAATAAAATAAAAATGAATAAAAAATAAATAAATAGTTTTTATATGTAAATCAAATAAATTGTGTATTTCAATTAATAATTATAATTAAGAGCTTTAGGTAAATTGATTTTTTTTAATAAATAAATTTAAAGAATAATATAACTTGAAAAAATTATTTCTAAAGTTTCATCAGAATTTAAGTTTTCTTTGAAGAAAAATTTATAACGCAGCTTAATGTTTTAATCAATTTTTTCTAAACTCGTCGTTTTTGTACAAAACTTTATCTAACGACAACTTTTCTTTGAAACTTGAACATCATAAGATATAATAAATGTACCGTTGATGATCTCATTATCTTATCCGTAAAGTCAAGTTTTGTCATCGATAGCCTTCTATAAATTTTCAAATTACTTTCTTTGCTGTGAAGTATAACACAAAGAGTGCAGCAAATTGTTAGGCATTAAAATAAGAAGCGACGCTCTTATTTCAATATCAAATTAAATTAATAAAGTTTGTCTCTAGAAAAAAATGGGTTCGATTATATTTTAATATTTCTGTTTTCTTTTTTAATACGACACTGTCTAAAATTTTTTTCCAAAATTATTAAAATCTATGTCTCAAACTCTAAATCAGTTAAAATTTTAAATAATTAACTCTAAATCAGTTAAAATTTAATCTTCTTTGGAGAGAATTGTAAAAAAATTTAAACTTCAAAATAATAAGTATGAGCGTATTAAAATTAACTACATTTTTTGACTAAACTATGTACATTTATTTGAAACAAAAATTTTTCCTGTAAAACGATTAGGATTTGCATACTCATTAATAAAGAAGATTGAAACTTGTTAATTCATTCTAGAAAATTTTTAATTGTTGTCTTACAATTAGCAAATAAAGAGACATTCCAATTAAAATGACAATGCTCGTATATATGAATTATTCCAACATTTCTTTGCTTCCCTTAGTTAGAGTTAAAAAAAAGTCACTTATGTATTTTACAAACATTTTTTACAGGTCTCCCCTCTAACAATTGTCTAATTTCTCTATATTTGTACAGAAAAACTTAAAAACTATTTATTTATTACAAATATACAAGCACTGACCCAATAATACTAAATTATTTTTATTTCTGTTATGTTTAATTATATTTACAATTATTTTTAAATAAAAAATTATTATTTTAGAAAACGTATTTTAAAAATCGTTTCTTTAAGTACAATATAGTGAGATGGAAGGGATAAATTATTGGATTAATTTTAATTATATCAATGATCAATTATTGAAAAAAAAAGAAAAATAAAACTTTCATTCGAGGAATATTTTTAAGTTTTGGCTGACAAAAACCTACGTTTTCTACTTGCAAGTAGTAAAATATTGAATATATTCGTTAATTTTAATATTTTCAATCACTGTCTGACTAAAATTGTGCATTACTACTTGTTTTGTCTGACGATAACTATCATCCACTCCTTGTTTGTCCAAATTCCGGATTTGAAATTATCGTCTGACCAAAGCTGTATTTTTCTACTTAAACACAAATTTTGCTGTTTGTCTGACCAAAATCTGTCTTTACTACTTGTTTTCGAATCACAATATTTTTAATTCTTGTCTGACCAAAATCTGTTTTTTCTACTCCTTGTTTACGAATATCAATAATTTCAATTCTTGTCTAACTAAAATTGTATTTTACTATACCTGCTGCACCAGGGCTTTACTACTTATTTTGTCTCACGAAAACTGGCATCCACCACTCCATTATGTTTTCAAATTTCCATAATTTAAATTCTCGTCTGAGCAAAACTGTATTTTTCTACTTAAACTTTAATTCCACTTTTTGTCTAAACAAAACGTGTCTCTATTCTTTATTTTTTTAATTACAATAATTTTAATTCTCGTCTGGTCAAAATTGACCTTTACTACTTATTGTGCCTGACTGTTCCTGGGCTTTACTACTTAATAATAAATTTCAATAATTTCAATCACAATCCGACTATAAATAATTCTTGTCTGACCAAGGATGTATTTTTCTACATAAACTCAAATTCCGTTGTTTGTCTGACCAAAATATCTCTCTACTACTTGTTTTTGAATTTCAATTATTTAAATTCTCGTCTGACCAAAATTGTATTTTACTACTTTTTTGTCTAACTGTACCTGGGCTTTACTACTTAATCTTAAATTTCAATATTTTCAATCACAATCCGACCATAACTGACTTTTATTCCTTATTTTCAATTTTTAATATTTTCCATTCCTGTCTGACTAAAACTGTACCTTACTACTTAATCGTTAATTTCCATATTTCCAATCACTGCCTGACCAAAAGTTGGCTATACTACTTATTTTGTCTGATAAAAACTATCATTCACTCCTTTTTCCAAATTCTGTAATTTAAATATATATATTTGTCTGACCAAAGCTGTATTTTTCTACTTAAACTCAAATTCCACTGTTTGTCTGACCAAAATCTGTCTCTACTACTTGTCTTCGAATTTCGATAATTTTATTTATTCAGAAATTTTTATTATTGTCTGACTAAAATAATGTTTTACTACTTACTATGCCTAACTACAGCTAGGCTTTACTAATTATTCTTACATTTCAGTATTTTTAGTCACTGTCCTTTACTCCTTATTTTAAATTTTCAATATTTTCTATTTTTGTCTGACCAAAACTGTGCCTTACTACTGAATAGTTAATTTTCATATTTCCAATCACTGTCTGACTGCAATTATGCCTTACTAATTATTTTGTTTGATTAAAATTAACGTTTACTGCTTGTTTTCCCATTTTAATAATTTAAATTCTCGTCTGACCAAAATTGTATTTTACTACTTATTTCGCACTGATTGAAAATTATTTCTATCCTTTTCTCCTTATTTTTGTGAATACTTTTAATTTTTGGCTGACCAAAACTATTTCTTATTACTTATTCGTAATTTACAATATTCACAGTCACCGTCTGACCAAAACTGTTTCTTTCTACTTATTTTTAAAATTTGCGAAAATTACACTCACTGTATGACCAAAACTATATCATATTACTAATTTTTTCTAATAAAAACTATGAACTTAGTCTAACTGCAATATTTTTTAACTTGCAAGTCTGACCAAACATAGTTTTTACCACTTATTTACAATTCACCAAAATTTAAATTCTCATCTGAGCAAAACTGTTCCTTGACTACTTACATTACAACACTAAAATTACATTTTACTATTTTTCACAAATTACAAGAAAATTTTCAATTTCTGTCTGACCAAAATTGTGTTTTACTACTTATTTCGCCTGACTGAAAACGAGTTTCACCTCTTATGTGCAATTAATTTTGTTTCAAAATAGATATCTTAAATATATCATTCAATAATTAATTATTTATATGTATTAATTAAATTTAATCATACATCCAGTAATAGATAATAAATATATGTGTTTCAAATTTAGCAGAGAAATCTGATAACTGAAAATTTGTGCGGACAGCGTTAATGTGATCGATCACGTGTCTTTAATTTGATTACGAAATAATTACTTTGTCCATTATTGTACCAGATTTCCTGCTCTTTAATTGATTATCTGTTAATTATAATGAATGAATTTGATGCGAAATTATAAATTTTATACCACTGATAAATAGATATATTATATCTGAAGGACATCTCAAATATAGAAAATGTTAAATAATAATATTAATAATACTTTACAAATTGTGTATTTCATTTTTTATGTTTATTTAATATTTATCCTCATTTATATGTGGAATATATATTTGAATAAATATAGAATATATTTGAATATATAAAATATGTAAAATATATTTCATTATAGTAAATATATTTAAATATATAAAATATGTTTTGAATATATTTTTAGAATTTTATAAATTATTTAATTCAATAGCGTTAGATACACAGTTTTCTTGAAAGTAGCAAAATTGATACTAAAGTAGATCAAATTGATGCGAAAACTTTGGATCAATTTTTAATTTGATCCACATTTTTTTGTTATCAATTCGTTACAATTTGATACTTTTAAATTAACAGTGTAAGTTAGTTGAAATTTTTTTTTACTATTTCAAATTTACTATTTATTTTTTACTGTTAAAATTTCGACACTTTATAGCGAAACGTTATAGTCACTAATAATTGAAATTAGAATTTTTAGTAATTAAAATAATTTAAAAAAATGAGTAAATTTTCAATTATTCTACTTGGATTGGTGTGTTTACAGGCTCGCAGTGCCAGCACAAGTAGCTTTAGAAGCGTGAGTCAGGTACATACAAACTCAGATGACATATAGCTAGAGATTTAGACCTAGCTATTTAGCCAGAATATTTAGAGGAATTAAAATATATCTTAGATAGACGTTCTGCATTCAATAGGCTTCAAGAAATTATAATATAGATTAGAAATAGAATAATTTTACCAATAATAGCGTAGAAATTTAAAAAAGAGGCGTTTAAATAAATACTAAACTTTTTTTTTTATTATTACACACAATAAGCGAGCTGTTAAATTTTTTAAAAGAATGATTAAAAATTATCTATTCTTTTGTCTTTTCACAAACAGATACAAAAATTGCATGCTTACAATTAATTAATTACAAATGACAGGAATGTTGCATCGTTCTTCCATATAGGTTATAGAAAATTGCATGATTAAATAGCATTTTTTTTTAATTTCTCTGTTCTTGAAATTAACATAATAAATTATGCTCAGAAAAAATGTACATAGATCATAGAAATATATAAAATCATAAAATTTAATTAATCCAATTAATTGATTCAAATAAAAAATATTTGAACCAACTAAAGTATTTTACAAATAATTTGAATTAATTAACTGAGTAAACGATTTATTTTATCCAAACAAATTTTGTTTAAATCAAACTTATAATTTCTTTGCTATACAGTGAAACATATTTAAAAAATATAATTATATCTTTAAATTAAAAAAAAAAAATTCTTTTTTTAAAAAAATACTTAAATTAAAAAAAAAATCTTTTTTTAAAAAAATACTTAAATTAAAAAAAAATTGATTTATTTTTTTATGAAGTATACTTATTTATAAGTATAAATAAACTTTTGTAGATTTTAGTGAAAATTTCAACAACAAAAAGAAACAATTTAAAAGTTTTAATGGACATATAGAAAATTAAGGGCAGCGTAATCAAGTCAATTGTGAAGTTAAAGATGAGCAAAAGTCTCTCTTGACATTTCACATGGAACCTGGGAGAGTTATTGAAAGCTTTTCACTCGACCAAAGCCATTCGGCAAATATCCCGAGGCTCTTTTTTCTTTTGAGCGAACTAAGGACCTCTGGAGGCCATCGCGAATGAAAATTTATGGACCCTTATAGAAAAAAAAGTGACTATTCCAACCACTCTATACATGAGATCGTAAATCGCAAAAATACACTCAACACATTTTAACACCACTTTAAATTTTATCTATATGATTCACAATCGATAAATTTTTTTTTTTGTTGTTCTTCAAAAACATGTTTTTGATATTTTATTTACTAACAAATACTTATTCGATTTTTTATTATTTGACACAATTTCTTTTTTAATTAAACGTTTGACCTGCAGCAATAATTTCTGGAAATATTGATGCAATATTGCCTCGCAATATTATTAAATATTAAAAAATATTATAAAATATTATAAAATATTATAAAATAATATAATTTAATTTAATTTTTACTTTATCACTCGGTAGTCGTTACTATAAAAAGAAACTTTCAGATTAACGATTGTCAAGTCCCGAGTTAAAGAAATTATGATTAAAAAGTAGGAAATATACTCATTAGCATAATTTTTATTTCTCAACAACAATATTGTTTACAAACTTATTCTTTTCTTTTGGAAAAAAAATCTTTCCATTTCCTAAAATTATAATTATTATATTTTTGGACAGAATTTTATTATTTATGAAGAAATAGAATATTTTTTGAAGTAATTTCTTAAAATTTTTGAAAATAATTCCATTCTGATGAAGAATTTTATTCGAAAATTTCAAAATTAACAATTTTTGAAAATAATTGAATTTTTTGAGCAGAATTTTATTGTTTATGAAAATAATTGAAATTTTTTAATGTCAATTTCCAAAAATAATTGAATTTCTGCGAAAAATTTTACTATATAAGGAAAATAATTGAATTCTTGCGCAGAATTTTGTTATTTGACAAAATATATAATTTCTGTGAAGTATTTTCTTATAACTTTGCTAAATAATTGAATTCTTGTTAAGAATTTTATTACAATTTTTTAAATTAATTGAATTTTTTGAGCAGAATTTTATTATTTATGAAAATAATTGAAATTTTGTAAGGACAAATTTCCAAAAATAATTGAATTCCTGCGTATAATTTTACTGTTTGAAGAAAATAATTGAATTTTTGCAAAGTATTTTATTAGAAGGTTTTGAAAATATAATTGAAATCCTACGAAAAATTTTACTATATTTAAAAAAAATAATTGAATTTTTGCGCAGAATTTTATTATTTGAGAAAATATAGAATTTATGTGAAGTATTTTCTTATAATGTTTTTTAAATAATTATGAATACCTGCTCATAATTTTATTATTTTTAAAAATAATTGAATTCGTGTGAAGAATTTTATTAGAATTTTTTGAAAATAATTAAATTTTCTGCGTAAAATTTTATTATTTATGGAAATAATTGACATATTTTAAAGACATTTATTACCAGCAGTTTTTTTAAATAATTGAATTCCTGCTTCAAATTTTATTGTTTATGAAAATATATATAAATTTTTGTGAAGCCGAAGTATTTTCTTAGAATTTTTTTAAATAATTGAATTCATGAGAAATATTTTCTTACAAATTTTGAAAATAATTTTATTTTTGATAAACTTTTTATTATTATTGAAATTTCTGAAAATAATTTAATTCCTTTGGATAATTAAAGAGTTTTAAAAGAGTTTAAAAAAAATTACAACACGAAAATAAAGTTACAAATTTTTACAAATATGTATATTTTCAAGTTAGAAATTTTCGTTTGTCAAAAAATGAAAATAAAAATGAAATATTCTATGAATTCTCAATTTGTTACTAATTATTGTTGGAAACTTGATTTTATTCGATTACAATATATCAGAAATTGTGCAATGCGCACGTATAGGTACTTATTTTCGCACCGAAGCATATATAATATAATTCATTATGTTCTCTAGAATTTATGGGAACAGTGCGATAATATGACGATGTATTTCACTTTAGTGGTACTGTTTTAGTTTAACTGGAAAATTGCTTAAGCTGCATACAAGTTAAGCACCGTAAATTTCCCGCATAACCGAGCTTTCGGATTAATTTTGCTGTAAGTTTTTAATTTTATATTCTTATCAAAATTATTTATTTTTACATTGGAAATTAATAGAAATCATGATTTTTGTCTGACAAAAACTGAATTTTTCTACTTTAACTGGAATTCCACTTTTTGTCTGACCAAAATCTGTTTCTACTCCTTGATTTCGAAATTTCGATAAACTTTAATTCTTGTCTGACTAAAATTGTGTTTTACTACTTATTATTTATGTCTGACTGTACCTGGGCTTTACTACTTAATCTTAAATTTTAATATTTTCAATTACAATCCGACCCTATAACTGACTTTTACTCCTTATTTTCTATTTTCAATATTTTGCATTTTTGTCTAACCAAAACTGTGTCTTACTACTTACTCGTTAGTTTTCAAAATTCCTATCACTGCCTGACCAAAATTAGTCCATACTACTTATTTTGTCTGATTAATACTAGCATTCACTCCTTTTTTTCCAAATTCCATATTTTAATTTATTGTCTAACCAAAGTTGACATTTTCTACTTAAATTCAAATTACACTTTTTATCTGACCAAAATCTATTTTTACATTGTTCGAACATAACTCACCTTGTTTGTAAATCATATTTTTAATTACTGCCAGACCAAAATTGGGCTATACTACTTATTTAGTCTGACTAAAATTCTTCCTTACTTCTTCGTTAATTTTAATATTTTCAGTCACAGTCTGTCTAATATTATGTTTTACTACTGGTTTTGTCTGACTATAACTGACTTTTACTACTTATTTTCAATTTTTAATATTTTTCATTTCTGTCTGACTAAAATTGTGCCTTACTACTTAATCGTTAATTTTCATATTTCCAATCATTGACTGAACGAATTTCAATAATTTAAATTCTTGTCTGACCAAAATTGAGTTGTTCTACTTATTTCGCCTCACTGAAAATTATTTCTATTATTTTCTCCTAATTTTTCTAAATATTTTCAATTTTTGTCTGACCAAAACTATTTCTTTCTACTTATTTTTAAAATTTGCGAAAATTACGGTCACTGTCTGACCAAAATTGTGTTTTAATATTATTTTTTCCTATTCTAAACTGTTTGAGTTTGTATAGTTTGAGTAAAAAAATTTCTTACTACTGATCTTCATATTCCAATTTTTTTATTTTTTCTGTCTGATCAAAACTGTGTTTAACTACTTATCCAGTGAATTTCAAGATTTTTAAATTAATTGTAATGAAAATTACTACATATTAAGTCATTTTTGTCTGACTAAAATTGTGTTTGACTACTTATCTTCAAAAAAAAATATTTCCAGTGTCTGTCTGACCAAACAGTGTTTTACTACTCATTTTGCGAAACTGAATTTGAGCTTTACTACTTATTTTCCTAACTCAAAAATTTTTTTATTTCTGTCTGACCCACACTGACTTTTACTACTTATTTTTCTAACTCAAAAATTTTTAATATCTGTCTGACTCACACTGATTTTTACTACTTATTTTCTCGTATACCAAAAATGTGTTTTACCTTATTTTGTCTGACTAAACCCATCTCTTACTACTTCCACATAATTCGAATATTTTCACTCGTAGTCTGACCAAAAATGTTCAGTGTTTATTGAATTTCCCTAGGTACTTGATTCCCTATTTGATTTGTTACTTGACTACTTTAATGATTTGTTTATAAAAAAATATTCAACTCCTTTAAAACTAAAACTTTCCTAATAATAATAGAGAAAAAAATTTCCTATCAGAGAAGAAGTCGGTGATTTTTGAGATTTTCAAACTTTGGACTAAAGTGATCTTTATAATTATAAAGTTTCTAAAGAAAAAAGTTTTTAATTTCTCATATTGAATCTCGTCTGGAAGGTAATGAAAATTTTATGCACAACTTCAATAATATTCCCGGTCCGATTTTACGTTTTTAGTTCATAATTATAATTACTGGTTACGATGAGGCAAGAAAGAACCGAACAAGTGTCTATACGTTCATTAATTCTTTCACTTTCGCCGATCTACATATAATTAAATATGTTATTTTCAATTTTTTTTCCTCTAGAATATTTTCAAGTGTCTGCTTGTTTTACAATTCTTTGTACGATTCTTTGTATGCTCTAATTAAATTCAGAAAGTGTCTCAAATACTTGAGACTAATAAATATTTTTAATTTCTCTTCTCTCATTTTAATTTAGTTTAATTCCCTCTCTTTAATTTCAAAAACGAGGAGCATATTTCTTACAAGCGTGAGACTATTCCAATGAAAATATATATATTTGAAATTTTAGATATTTGTTAATAGCAAAAATTTTTGCTCTTTAATTTTATTAATTAAATTTTAATAATTAAAATTCAAATAGTAATACAGTAATTTTAATGTGAATTAATAAAATTGTATTATATATGAAATTAATGTAGTCAAATTTTGAAATATATTTTTGAAATATATTTTTTAATAAAATAAAATATTTAATTTTAAAATTTAAATATTATTTATTTAATATTAAATTTTTTAAATTAAATATTTTTAATAAAAATATTTAAATGTGTAAATAATTTAAAGTGTAAATAAATGTCTAAGTGATGAGTGATAAATATTTGTTATCAATAAGAAATTTTTCGGAAAAAAATAAGTAAAGAAAATTTACAATTATTTTTGTAATTTTGTATACAACAATAATTGTGAAACAATAAAAAGAATTTACAACTTCTGAAGTAAAACAAAAAAAAACCATTTAATTAATATTATGACCGCATTTCTTTGGCGAAGAAAAAAAAACATGCAGACTAGTTCTTTCGTCTTTCAATTTCACAAAGAGAAGAAATATAAAAAAAAAGAAAAAAAAACATTGATGCTGAAGCAAAACTATTTTCCGGGTACAAATGCGATACTTTGCTGACGCTTACCATTCACGGAAATCAGGTCACAACTTTGATTCTTGTTTTGAATTAGCAAAATGAAATATTTTTCAGAGGATTTGTTTTTTTTTAATTCTTATCAGAAATGCATATAAATATGCAACAATTTTTTTAAAAGTTGGAATTTTTTCTCCCCAAGTTGAATTAAAAGAAAAGTAGTTGAATGTATTTAGTTTGCAATTCGTATATATATTACGAAACTTGTTCATAGTTCTTTTTTTGGGGGGAGTGTGTTATAAATTTTCAAGGTTGGTTGCAGACCCTTCCTTATATTGATCTTGCAGTGTGCAGATTTCTTGGGAAGCCAAAGCAAGTCGCTTAAAAAGAGACAAATTTAAATTATTTACGAAGAAAAGTTTTTTTTTATGAAAAATATTTTTAAAATTTGTTAAAATCAGTAGATATTGTTTTTTAACAATTTTTTAAAAGATATCAAATTGAGACAAAACACGAATCAAAAAGTTGCTTTGCAACATTTTTGATTCGTTTTTTGCCTCAATTTGATATCCTTAGAAAAACTGGGAGTAAAATAAATTTCGGTTTTTTTAAAAAAATATTTTAATATATATAGAAAATTAAAATTTTGATCAAAGTTTTTACTGAAGAATAAATTAAATTATTCTTACAATAATATTTTGTTGTATTTTAAATCAATTTTGAGGGAGAAATGGTGGTTTAATTTCTCCACTTGAGAACGCCAAGGTCGCCACCAGATGTCAGTAAAAATTCCAAGAAAGAAGTGAACTGCCACCTAGCGGTGACCTTGGCGTTCGCAAGTGGAGAGTATCGTCTCCACATTGAATCTCAAATGTTTCGTAATTCTATAATTATTTATCAATTAATAATTAGATTTCAAATTATTAAAAAAATAAAAAATTTTTAATAAAATTATTGAAAAGGTTCCAACTTTGCAATTTTATACTAATTCAAAATACCATAAAGAAAGTTTATAGCAAAATAAAGTGGCGTTAAATGACACTGATATTGGTCTTTAAGAGGAAGAATATCTTCACTGTGGTACTTAATTCTCCTTAAAAGTATCAATACCGTTACTTATAAGAGAAACAGTAGACACTCTGATACAATTTATATTTTTAACGAGACACATATTCTGAAATCCTGGCAAAAAAAAGAATAAATATTTATACAAAGAAATACCGAAGTTTGTAAATATAACTAAAGTTTATAATTTTAAGAATAAATAATAAATATTATATACAAAAACACACAACAAAAATATCCATTTTACGAATAATTGACTATACAGTCAACAAAAATATATTTTACGAATAATTTACAAAAATATTTTTTGAAATATAAATAATAACATTTTATTTATAACAGTAAAAATTTTTATGGAAATTAAAGATTTATAATTTGTAATAATTATAAAGATTGAAGAAACATTAAAAATTGAAAAAAATATACATATATGTAGCTTGTTTAATATTTTTTGGACGCAAGTTAAAAGTAAACGTAGAAATTAAAAATTTTCCTTTCATCATAAAGTAAAATCTAAATTGGTTCTAAATAAATAACGAAACATGAAAATGATTCTAAATAAAACGTGGGTAAATAACTGAAAAAGTTGTTGCTCATTAAAGGATATTCTGGGTTTTGTAATTTGAAATAAGAAGAGTTGCTTTTCAGTTTTCAACGTCCAGCCCAATGAATATTTAACTGTGGTTCGTTGAAAGCTCGACCACTCTTTACCGCATTTACATGAGCACGCCAGTGTTCATGAACCATTAAAATTCAAAGATAAAAGGACAAAAATTTTAAAACCTTAATTATATACATATAAGTAATAGAAGCGAAGCTCATTTTATCTTTTTCATTTTATCAAAAAAAAAAAAAAAAAAAAAAAAAAAAAAAAAAAAAAAAAAAAAAAAACATTTAATCAAACATATTTTTGATTTTTTTAAATTTATTATAAGAATAAATTTTTTGAAAGAAAAGAAGAAAAGAAAAAGAATTTTTTTGAAAGAATTCAATTTTTTTTTCTAAAATTATAAAAAATACTTGGAAATATTTCAATTCTTTTTATAAAGAGTAAAATTCTTTGCAAAAATTCAATTATTTTTTATAGAAAAATCCTTGCTAAAAATTCAATTATTTTTTAAAAAAATATCACGAAAGAATTCAATTTGTTTTTAATTCGTTAAAAAAAATTTCAAAAAAATTCAATTTTTTTTTAATTTGGTAACAAAAATTTTCAAAAGAATTCAATTATTTTCTAAAATTGTTATAAATCCTTTAAAAAAATTCAATTATTTTTATAAGTAGTAAAATTCATATGAAGAATTAAATTATTTTTTAAAAATAATAAACTTTTTTTCAGGAATTGAATTATTTTCAATACAATTTTAATAAACTTTAAAAACCAATAATTCAATTAATTATTAGCAAACACGATTATTTTTAAAAAGTTTAAGAAAATTCTATGTTTAATTAAATTATTTTCAAAATTTTCAATTAAAATTATTCAAAAAACTACATTATTTTCATATAAAGATATTCTTCAAAAGAATTTAATTATTTACGAAAACTCGGATTAAAATTTATTAATAGAGTTTAATATTCTATCAATAATTTTAATACAATTTTAATAGTATAATTATTAATTACAATTATAAACTAAATCGATTAAATTCAATAAATTAAAGAAATTTTTTAAAAGAATTCAATGATTGTCAAAACATCTAGTAATATCTATTCTTCGACAGAAAAACAAATTGTTCATAAAATTCTTTTAACATTTTTATTTAAAGCTATTAAAGAAACTCCATTATTTAAAAAAAAAATTTAAGAAATTCTTCAAAAAGAATTTAATTAGAATTTTCAAAAACTGTAATAAAATTCTTCGCAAGAATTTAATTATTTACATAAATAATAAAATTCTTGGAGGAAATTCAATTATTCTCAAATTTTAAAAATTAAAAAAAAAATAAATAAAAGTTTTAATTTTAATTCAAAATTATCGAAAATTTTAATTTTAGATAAAATTCTTTGCAAGAATTCGCAATGATTTGCAATTCATTAATTTTAAAATTGAAAATATTTGAAAAGAAAAACTATTAAAAAAAAGTTATTACTATTACAATGTCTATTTTTGTTAATTATTTAACGACTATTCTCAAATGATTTATTGATAATAAGATAATTATAATTTTTATTATTCGATAAATTCATAATTATGGTTGTGACAAAGATTTTATGTGAATTTTAAATGAACTCTGCCCACATAATTAGTAATTAAGGCATAATATATAGGCCGTTGATGAAGCACATCTGCAAGGTGAATCAATTTCATTCTAAAATTCAAACATATTCGGAAGTGATTTATCTGCGATAGAGATTAAATCTCTAACAATAAAGCAAAATGCAAATAAGCATGCAGTGGACATACTTAACTGAAAAGACATTTATAAGTGTATACATAAACTTATGTGCATTCTTCGTTCACGTGCAAAATTTTCTTTTTTTCTTTGCAAAAAATAAATTTTATTTTACTAAAAAGGATTAATTTAATTTCAAACAAAAAAATTGCAGTTAAAATTTTTTTTTTAATTTTTCTTAACTATAGGATTAATTTAATTACAAACAGAAAAATTGGAGTGGAAAAAAATTTTCATTTAACTGTTATTAATTGAAGGATTAATTTAATAGATTTAATAAATGACAGAAAAATTGAAAGTTCAAAAAAATTCTTTTTTATTTAACAACTTTTCCAAGAAAATAATAAGTTACCAACATTTTTGATAACATTTTTATTATTTTGTACAACAATGAATTTTAAAATCTGAAATATTATTTATTTTATTATTACTATTATTATAATTATTATTATTATTATTAATATTATTATTATAAATAGGGAATTTTTGATCGTAATTTTATAAAGTGTAACCAACAGTCAACATATAAATATAATTGTATCAATGCGATGAGAGATCACATAACTTTAATAATGCTTCTTCTTCTTTTTTTCGTATATTTGGAAAGAATTTTTAATCGCCAGTCATCATCTCCATGAATTCTGAAAAATTCACATAAAGTAAAAATTATTAAAATACATTTTTAATTTTTAATTTTCTTTAAAATACATCTTTTTTTTCTTTTTGATTTGTATTTCAAAATAAAAATTGGTTTTTATTTTAATTTAAATATGAATATTTATTTTTTTTTGTTTAAAAATTAATATTAATGTCAATTTTGATTTTTTTTTCTTTAATTTTTATTATTTTTTTTTTCATTATTAAAAATGACAGAGTGATAGAATTAAATTTACTTAAAAATAGTAAAAGTTTACAACTAAATATCATTGAGAATTAATAATAAAAATTTAAAAGTACAATTATTTTTGCCTAAAATCTAAAATGTAGATAAAAATATATTCAGTTAATATGGTGGATAAAAAGAAAAAAAAAGTGGATGCACTGTTATGTTCAGTGCAACCGTGTGACCACAATAACGAGGAAAAGCAAAGTGTAATAAATTTCCCAAAATGGTTTCACTGGAGCTCTCGTAATACACCTAAATCTGAGATTTTAATTCGGATTAAATCCAAATTCTGTATTTGCATTAAAAATTTTTAAAGTATTTCACCTACACTCGAAAGTTTCTAAAAAAATACATTTGTCAAAAATATAATAATAAGAAACGACAACAAATATTATTTCTTTTTTAATTTAACACTAATAAAAATTATCAATTATTTGTATTATTTTTAGTTAATTGATTAGCTAATATTATGTAAACCTAAAGTACAGGAAGTTTCTAAAATTAATTAATTATACGCTTGGGATATCTTACCTAATCGAAAAAGTAGGTGTGTCTCTAACATTATTTTTGTTTTTCTTTTTTTAAAAGAAGCTAGGAAAAGCAATTTTAAGACGTCGAGAGCTTGAGTGATTTTATCACGGCTTTCAGTGACATAAATATAGGCACAAGTAATCTTTATAGAATTATATATAGAAAAAGGAGAATAAAAAAAGAGGAATTCAGAAATATTTTTCTTTTCATTTTTAATCTTCTAATTCTTCTCATTTATTTTTTTATTCATTATTATTATTATTATTAACTATATTAATTATTTTATTAATTATTATTTATCATATTCATTATTTTCTTTTTTATTACATTTATTATTATAATTACATTCGTTATTTTATTTGTTAGGATTTTTATTAATTTTAATTATTATTAATTATATTAATAATAAATATTAAATAATACATTTTTGCCTTCTATAACTAAAGTAAATTCTATTACTCGGTAATTTTTAATAATTTAAAAATAATAAATACTAAGCAAATTATTATAACAAAAAAAACGTTTATTTTTATAATTTATAAATTATAGGGTCCCTGAAGTTGGCGTCGACACAAATTTAATTGTGTTCCAAATTTTTTTTTAATTTTCATCAAAATTTCAATTATTTTTATAAATAATATAATTCTTCTCTGAAATTCAATTATTTTCCAAAAGTTTTAATCAAATTCTTGGAAAAAATTGAATTATTTTCAAAAATTTTCTCAAATTCAATGATTTTCAATATCTATACTAATTTTTTATAAAATTTTCCAAAAGAATTGCATTATTAAAAAAAATTTGAATAAAACTCTACGCAAACATTCAATTATTTTCATAAATAATACAAATTTTTAAAGGAATTCAATTATTTACAAATTTTTTTTATATTTCTTGTTCTTCGCAATAATTCAATTATTTTCATAAATAATAAAATTTTTACAAGGATTCAATTATTTTCGTAAAGAATAAAATTTTTTTTTGAAATTCAATTATTTTCATAAATAATAAAACTCATTGCAGAATTTTAATTATTTTTAATGCAATTTTAATAGAATTTCTCGAAAAATGTAATTATTCTTACAAATTTAATTTCAATTCCTCGAAAAAATCAATTATTTAAAAAAATGTTTTTTTAATTCTTTGGAAGAATTCAATTATTTACAAAAATATTAAAATTTTTCACAGGAATTCTATTAATTTCAAATATTTTCATAAAATTTTTCGAAAGAAATCAATTATTTTAAATATAATTTTAATTAATTTTTTGAAATAAATCAATTATTTTTTAGATTTTAGTAAAATTCTTCCCAAGAATTCAATTATTTTGGGGCATTTTAATAAAATTCTTTGCAAAATTCAATTATTTTCAAAAGTAATGAATTTCTTCTTGGAAATTCAATTATTTGACAAAATATAAAATTTTTTCACAGAAATTCAATTCTTTTGAAACATTTTAATAAAATTTTTCAATTATTTTCATAATTAAATGCTATTTAATATTTACTATTGTAGTAAAATTCTTCAAACGAATTCAATTTTTTAAAACAATTGTAATTATTCTTAAAAATTTTTTTTAAATTAGTCGAAAGAATTCAATTATTTAAAAATTTGTTGAGAAAATTTGTTATGATAATTGAATTTTAAGAAACATTCAATTATTCAATACATTATTAATTTTTATATTTAAATAATTAAATTCTTTTAGAATTTACTAATAAAAAATAAAAATTGTTTTAAAAACGAATTTCAGTTAAAATTTTAGATTATAATTAAATATTAAAAGCATTATAATGTGGATTTTTACAAATAATTGAATTTTGAAAAGGTTTTAAATTAAAATCTTTGAAAATCTGAATTTTTCATACTTTTAACTAACAATTCTGTAGAATTAATTTTTTTGAAAAAGTTTAATGGAATTTGTTTTGAAATTATTTAAAGTTTTTTTTTCTAATATATATTTAATTGAAGAATTTTCGAATAATTGAAATTTTTGGTAAAATTGAATTGTAAACAAATGAATTTAAAAATTGTCAAAGAACTTTTTCAAAAGTTATTAAAAATAGTGGATTTATAGAAGAATTTTAATTAAAAATACTAGAAAAAAATATAATTTTTAAGAAGTTACTAATTATTGTTGAAATTCAATTATTTTCAAGAGTAATAAAATTCTTCTTATAAGGATTCAATTATTTTAACTAATAATAAAACTCATCGCAGAATTAATTAATCAATTATTAATCAATTTTAATTGAAATCCTTGAAAAAAGTAATTATTTTCATGCAAGTTTTAATAAAATTCGACAAAAGAATTTAATTATTTAAAAATTTATTGATAAAATTCTTTGGGAAGTGAAATTAGTGACATTTTCATCTCTAAAAATCCCAAATTATATTTTTTGACGCTGAGCGTCGACGCCAACTGTAGGGACATAAATTATAATTATATATAAACACAAAATTTAATTAAATTCTATTTAATTACTATAAAATAGAAAATATTATCGATATATTAATTATTTATGTTTTTATTATTATTTTTATTTATTAATTAATAAAAGAAAATTATTTTACCATCAAAGTCGACTGTGCCTGATCCGTCAGTATCAATTTCGGCAATCATACCATCCATTTGATCAGGAGTTATTTGATCATCAAGGGCAGCCAAAATTTCGCGAAGAGAACTTGTGGGAATATAACCGTTTCCTTCTTTATCATACAATCTGAAGGCTTCCTTTAATTCTTTCTGTAAAGCCTCATCGTCCTCTTCTTGAAAATGACAGGCCACTCGATAGAATGAATCGAAGTTCAACTTTCCACTGTCTTTAAAAATTTAATTAAAAGATTAAAAATTAAATTAAAAAATTAAATAAAAAATTGAATTAACAATTAAATTAACAATTAAATTAACAATTAAATTAAAAATTAAATTAACAATGAAACTAAAAATTAAATTAACAATTAAATGAAAAATTAAAATTAAATTTAATTTAGATTTAGAGAGTAAAAATTCCAATTGAATATTTTGCTAAAAAAAAGGGGACTTTAATAAAATGTAGAAATTGATCGGCTAGTATTATTTTTCGAAAAAATGGAAAAGAAAAATATGAATTCCAAAGTAGTTGATGAATCAATTTTGCAGTGCCGGTATATATATAATGAATATCATGAGATTGTGTGTTTGTATATTTTACATTCAATAGACTTTAGTGTATAAACTAGACCGGAGATTAATTTCAAATCAAGTATACTAAGCTATTAAGTGCTTTTGATAGTGACGGCGTGATCTACATAATAATACTGGTCTTATAAGCGCTGATGATCATGGTCCTGAATTCGAAAAGTAAGCTCACATCCAAACTAGATTAGAACTTAGATCCATAATTTTCGTTTTATATAAAATAACTTTTTTAAATATTTCAAAAAGTTGTAAATTCTAATAAAAAATAACTATCTTCCTAATGGAAAGCAAAATAATAAAAATTTCGCAGGAATTAAATATTTACAAATTTTTTATAAATTTCTTCGCAATAATTCAATTATTTTCATAAATAATAAAATTCTTCTCCGAAAATGCAATTGTTTTCATGGAATTTTATTAAAATTCTTGGTAAAATTTCAATTATTTTCAAAAATTTGCCCCAATTCAATGATTTTCAATGCTAGTATTTTAATAAAATGTTCCAAAAGAATTAAATTATTTAAAAAAAAAAATTTGAATAAAATTCCACGCAAATATTTGTAATCTTTTTCATAAATAATAAAAATTTCACAGGAATTTAATTATTTACAAATTATTTTCATAAAAAATATTATTCATCTCAGAATTCCAATTATTTTTAATACAATTTTAATCAAATTTCTCAAAAAATTTAATTATTCTTAAAAATTTTATTAAAATTCGACCAAAGAATTCAGTTATTTAAAAATTTGTTAATAAAATGTTTTGAGAGAATTTTATTTTATAAAACATTCTATTATTCAATAAACTATTTATTTTTCTGTTTAAATAATTTAATTCTCGTAGAATTTTCTAATAAAAATCTATTAAAATCTGAATTTCAGTATAAAAATTAATTTTTTTGAAAAACTTTAATTGAATTTTATTTCAAATTACTTGAAGTTTTTATTTTCTAATATATTTTTAATTTAAGAATTTCCGAATAGGTATTTAAAATTTCGTAAAATTGAATTTTAAATAAATGAATTTGAAATTTCTCAAAGAACTTTTTGAAAAATTATTAAAAATAATTGATTTAAAGAAGAATTTTCTTTAAAAAAACTAAAATATAATTGAATTTTTGAGAAGTTTCAAATGATTGCAGAAATTCAAAAAATCTCAAAAACAATTAAATTCATTGCAAAAATTCAATTATTATGTTCAAAAATTGAAAAAAATTCTTATAAAAAATTCAGTTATCTTTATAAAAAGTAAAATTGGTTACAAAAATTCAATTCCTATGTTTATTTATTTATTTATTTAATAGCATAACGGGACATACCCTTTCGTACATTATGTACTCCCTAATGTTCAAAAATTGAAAAAAATTCTTGTAAAAATTCAATTATCTTTATAAATAGAAAAATTCTATTCTAAAATTCATTTATTTTCGAAAATTGGACCTAATAAAATTTCTGTTCGAAATTTAAAATATTTTTTTTTAATTTTCTTAAATTCAATGATTTTTAATATCTACTATTTTAATAAAATTCTCCAAAAGAATGCAGTTATTTAAAAAAAATTCTACGGAAAGACTTTTTTTCATAAATAATAAAACTCTTTGTAGAATTTAAATTATTTTAGGTACAATTTTAATCGAATTCCTCAACAAATGCAATTATTCTTAAAAAAATTTATTAAAATTCATCCAAAGAATTCAGTTATTTTAAAATTTATTAATAAAATTTTTTATGAAAATTCTATTTTGTGAACCATTTAATTATTCCATAAATTATAGCCTGATTTTCTTAAAATAATTGAATTTTAAAAAGGTTTCAAATTAAAATCTTTGAAAATCTGAATTTTTCATACTTTTAACTAACCATTTTGTAGAATTAATTTTTTTGAAAATTGTAATTGAATTTTTTTTTTAAATTATTTGAAGTTTTAATTTTCAAATTTCCAAACAATTTCCGAATAATCGATATTTTTGGTAAAATTGAATTGTAAACAAATGGATTTGAAAATTGTCAAATTTAGAGAATTCGAGAAATCGTTAACAAAAAAATTTTTTTTAAGTATTTTGTTTTCAATACGGAATGCTTTTTTTTAAATGTAATTTTTCTGTTCCTGAGCAGTCAGAAAGTTAATAAAATGTGAAAAAGTTTATTTCCAAAAGTCTCAGTAAACCAATTTAACAATTTTTAATTAAATTTAAAAAAAAAGTATTTTTTTACAGAAAAAAAGTGCATCGTTTGAATTAAGAATAGAATTTTTTATAAATTGCAAAAAACATTAAAAGTAGAAATAAAAATTGAACACCCAGTGTGTATGTTATACAGAAGATTAAATTGGAGCTATTTTGTTCCCAAGCAACGTACATTCTAGTTGCAGTCTACCGTAACGGATTGTCCCTCGCGTATTTAAAGGGTTTTAGTGTCCATGATTTTATTTTCCTATACTGTGAAATTCTCTACCATACACCAGTCCCTAAAGAGCTTTATTACCATAAAAATTTCAAAAACCAGTAATACTATTTACGATACTAAAAATAAATAATTTTTCCCTATAAATAAAAAATATAAATCTATACGCGAACAGATAATCATCTTTTCAACATTTTTCATTTTCTAAATCGAAATCTTCAATTTTTCTTTTTTTTTGTATAAAAGGTAGAGAAAAAAAATCAGAGCTTTATGTGGGTCGACCTAATTTATTCTTCGATAAACTTACCCAGTCCAACTCGACGAAAGATATCTTTCGGGAATCGAGATTTGTAGACTTGGCTATTTTTTAGAAACTGTGCTCTTTAAAGATTTGTATCGTCTACTATTGGAATTTATATTCGATATTGTTGTAATTCTTTCTCGAAAAAAAAGAGAGTAAAAAAATACCTTCTTCATCTTCTTGTTTCAATAGAGATTCCAATTCATGATCATCAAACGTATGTCCAAGAGTGTTGAGAATTGTTCTAACTTTTTCCTTTTCAATTTTCCCCGTCTTCTGCGAATCGAACATGGAGAATGCTCTCCTCAACACTGAAAATTAGGGCACGTTAATTATTTCTCTATAAATTGCTTATTTTAACCCAAAAGACAGAAATGCCCATTTTCGTTAGTGTAAATCAAATTAGGAAATGGGAAAATTAGAGACATTTAGGTCAGAAATTGCAAGGTACGTATAAATATTAAATTTTAACTGATTGAGTTTCATTTCATTGCAATAAAACTGACTTACTAATTAAAGAGCATATTTAAGCGTGGTGGTTAATTTGGCGGAAATTAATTTAATTTTTCTGTCTTTTTTGTTTCGTTTAATAAACTATAAAATTACCACGAATTTTAATACAAAATCTTCAGTTTTTTCAATTTCTGACAAAAATTTCTTTTTATAATTTTAATCTTGAAGAACTATCATAAAATAAATAAAATATTTAATAAATAATTTTACTTAAATATTTTAAACCTAATTTAATTTTAAAAAAATTGCGTTTACAATTTTCATAAATAAATCAACTACAAACGGTTTCAATTTGAAATTTTATAAAATTTCAATGTTGAATGAATTTAATTAGAAATTTTATAAAATTTCAATGTTGAATGAATTTAATTAGAAATTTTAATGAACTTAGATTTTTGAAAAATTTTAATAATTCAAAATCTTCTAAAATTAGTTAAGTTTGTCAAGATATATTTAATTAATTATTAAAAATAATGGATTTATAGAAGAATTTTAGTTAAAAACACTAAAAAAATTGTATTTTTAAGAAATTGACAAATGATTGCAGAAATTCAATTATTTTCAAAAGTAATAAAATTCTTATCACAAAATTCAATTATGTTCAAAATTTACAAAAAAATCTCGACAAAATCAGAATTATTATCTTTATGAATAAAAAAATTCTTCTTAAAAATTCAATTATTTTCAAAAATTTTAATAAAATTTTTTTTTAAAATTCAATTATTTATAAAAAAAAATTTTAATAAAATTCTTTAAAAATTCAAATATTTCCAAACATTTTAATAAAATTCTTTTCCAGAATTCAATTATTTTCAAAAATTTTAATAAAATTCAATGATTTTTAATATCTACAATTTAAATCAAATTTTTCAAATGAATTTAATTGACAACTTAAGAAAAAATTTCATTAAATTCTACCCAAACATTTGATTATGTTCCATAAATAATAATTTTAAAATTTTACAAATTTTCTACAAAATTTCTTCGCAATAATTCCATTATTTTCATAAATAATAAAATTTTTGACAGGGATTCAAAAAATTCTCAAAAATAATAAAATTCTTTTTTGGAATTCAATTATTTTTGTGAATAATAAAACTCTTCGCAGAATTTAAATTATTTTAAGTACAATTTTAATCAAATTTTTCGACAAATGTAATTATTCTTAAATAATTTATTAAAATTCGTCCAAAGAATTCAATTATTTAAAAAAATTTTAATACAATTTTTTATGAGAATTATATTTTGTGAAACATTCAATTATTCAATAAAGTAAATATTTTTGCATTTAAATAATTTAATTCTCGTAAAATTTTCTAATAAAAATTGATTTAAAAATTAATTTCAGTTAAAACTTCAAATAACAATTGAATATTAAAAGCATTATAGCCTAATTTTTTCAAAATAATTGAATTTTGAAAAGGTTTCAAATTAAAATCTTTGAAAATCTGAATTTTTCATACTTTTAACTAACAATTCTGTAGAATTAATTTTTTTGAAAAAGTTATAAACATTGTTTTCCTTTATTTTTAAAAAAAACTTTGAATTCCATTAAAACAATTGAAATTAAGAAATAGAATTGATGCAAATTATTTCCTTATGGAAATTGAGAATTTTCCACAAAAATATTAAGAAACGGGAATATCTAAGGTTTTTCTTCCCAAAAGAGAAAATTGAGTTTGTAAACAATATTGTTATTGAGAAATAAAAATTATGCATAAAATGGGTATATTTTCTACTTTTTAATCAAAAATTTTTTTACAATTAATTTTCTACTATTTTTTAAAGATAAACAGGAGAATAATTTGCATAATAATTTTTAAATCTGTCAATCGAAATTTGTTATGGAAAAAAGCATATAACAAAGAAAATTATTATTCATATATTATTATTATTCATTTATTATTAGTATTGATTTATTATTAATATCCATATATTATGCGCATTTATTTGAAAAACCCTTGAGATTAAACTCGGAATAAATTATTTGACATTAAATGAAGTAAATAAGTAAAAACTCTGCTTTAGCTTTTAAATTAACAGATATTGAACTTTGAGTGCAGTCTCAATTCATTTCATGCGGACTATATACTTTATTGAACTCTCGTCTCCGTGAGCTGTTAAAATTTCAATTCAGTAGCGCATAGATTAAAAATTCACTAGTTTCGAACGTCAGTTAAAAACTTTTAAGTTTTCAAAAAGAACATCCAATTTATTGTTTTTTTTTTCTCCTTTTTATTATCAACTGTTAGAAATAATTTCAAACTATTTTCATAATAATGATCAATTTCATTATGCGAAATGAAATTGAAATTGGTTCTTTTGTCTTATTGATATTATATAATGTTTCTTACTGTCTTTTTTTAAATCTTATTACAGATTTTTTCTCTTTTACTTTTGGTTTAAAATGGGTGAAGTTTTCATCAAGTTTTTTTTATTACAAGGTGCCAAAAAATGTTCGTATAATATTTTTTTAATTGTAGTAAAGTTTTTGAGGGATAAAATGATGGTTTTAGTTTCTCCACTTGAGAACGCCAAGGTTCACCACCAGATGGCAGTGAAAATTCCAAGAAGGAACTGAACTGCCATCTAGCGGTGACCTTGACGTTCACAGGTGGACGAATAGCGTCTCCATATTGAATCACAAATGTTTCAATTAATTCAAACGATTCAAACTTATTTCAACTCTAAATTTACTTTCTTTTTCGATATTTTTATACTTTTCAATTTTTTAGAGTCTTAGAATTAATTTCTTTACTAAATAAATGAATATTTAAATCAATTTCGACTATTCGACCAAAAACAAGGTTCTAAAAATAATCATATTTAAATATTTTCAGTTTTTTTTTTCAAAATTTGAACTGTAAATTCAAATTCAAATACATAATAATATATATGAAATCCATCAGAAATTCTGTAATGGTAACTGCAGCGCTCGTATATAGAAATATATATGTGAAGCGAAGCATTTATATGGAACTATTTCGCGATGTGTGTTACATAAACTAAACATGTAAAACGAGAATGCGACCTAAATCTCAAATCTATAGGATAGTAAATGGTGACGCAATATCAATACGGTTATGTTTGTTGACACGATCGAATTTGCTAAATGATATTCCTATTTTGGTTCATTATTTTCTCTCGCTCTTTGTATTGGCAAAAAAAATCTCTCATTTCCCTCTAAATGATACAAATTTGAAAATTTCCGTTTAACATTATTTGCTTAACGTTTATAATTTGTTTCGATACAAATTTTGTTTCAGTTTAAATTTATTTCAAAGGGAATTTCGAAAATATGCGAACGGAATTTTTTTTTTTTGTTAATTCAAAGATATCATTTGCTTTGACTTTTATTTTTTTTATTATTCAAAGAAAATTTATTTAATAACAATATTTGCCAAAAGTTTCGAATTTTCTTTCTATTTTCTATTCTATCTATTCTGTAAAATAAAATTCTATTTTCTAAGAAATTACTCTACAAAAGGGAAAAAATAATTAAAATTAAACATTTAGTTAAGAATTGATTTTTTTAATTTAAAAAATAATTTTTTGTATTAGAAAATAATTTTTTGCATTAGAAAATTCAAAGTTAAAGAAGGAAAAAACATTTTTTTTTGAAAGAAAAAATTTTTTTAATGAAATAAACGAGTCTAAGAAATTGATTTCTCTAAGTTAAGAAAAACTTTTTTCTAAACGAAACAAAACGGAACGAAAAATGAAAAGTTCGAAACTAGTGATTTAAAATGACTTTGAAACAATTTTTCTTTCGTTCATTCTAATAAAAGCCGTATTTGTCATGTGCACAAAAATAAAAGTATTCCTCCAGTTGCACTAATGTTCAGCATCACTCACTTTGCACTTGCTCTTCATCCTAAAACACAATAAAAAAATATTTTTTATTGATTATAACTAAAATGTTTTACTTCAATTCAAATTTATTTAAACTTTGAAAATTTATTTAATATTTATACATTTAATTTATAATATTTATGTATTTAATTTTTAATATTTAAATATTTAATTTTTAATATTCAAATATTTAATTTTTAATAATTACCTAAATATTTAATTTTTAATATTTAAATGTTCAATTTTGAATGTTTAGGTTATTTTTCAATGTTTATGTATTTAATAATTAATTTTTACAAATTTGAAAAAATTGACAGAGAAACATTAAAATATGAATAAATATTCATTTTTCAAAAACAGAAAATCAATTTTATCATTTTTGAAATGATTTTTTTTGAAAACTATTGAAGTAAATTTTACGTTGTACACGGAGATTTATTGGAGTATTGATAATAAAATTATTGACACACACACTGCCACTAAATCATAAGTATCACTAACCATTTTATCCGGGGTGGCGCCTAACTTTGAATGTCTCACACTAAACCGCTTTTGAAACGAGGATAACTTTTATAACCACAGCGAAAATATTTCCATCCCTACTCTCACATACGTTACAGAAATGTCGGCTATAATGCTACAGCTTCTTGAAAATTTTAACCAATGGCAAAGTGTTTGATTCATTCTTCTTCTTTTATCTTTACGTGTTTCTTTTGGTTAAAACAAAGAAAAACTTTTGCAAGAATGCACGCAAGCTGCTATTTAAAACCATTGTTTTTTTAAAAGAAATTTCATTTTTTTAAACTTTGAGGAAATTTTTTTATTTCAAAAAATATTTTTTTTTGCTTTTCAAAAATAAAATTAACTAATTTTTATTAAAAGAAACTTTTTTTTTTGCTTCATTAATTTTTTTTAATTTTCGAGACAAACAAAATTAACTACAAACAAAATCAACTATTTAAAGAAAAAAAATTTTTACTATATTTTTACTTAAAAACAATTTTTTTCACTTTTCAAAAATAAATTTTTTACTTTTCAGAATTAAAATTAACTAAAAACAATAATAACTGTTTAAAAAAAGCTTTTTTTTATTTCAAATTTTAAAGAATTATACTTTTTTATTTTTCAAAACTAAAATTAACTGAAAACTAAATTAACTAATTTTTTTCCAAAGAAACTTTACTTTTTACTTCAAAAAATATTACTTTCTTAATTTTCAAAACTAACATTAACGACAAAGTAAATAAACTGTTTGTATAAAAAAAATTGTATTTTTACTTCAAAAATATTTTATTGTTTAATCTTCAAAACTAAAATTAAAACTAAAAACAAAAATATCTGTTTAAAAAAAAAAAGTTTTTTTCCACTTCAAAGAATTATATTTTTCATTTTTCAAAAATAATATTAACTATAAACAAAATTAACTTACTTTTTTAAGAAAAATAGTTTTTACTTCAAAAAAATGTTATTTTCCTGCTTTTCAAAACTAAAATTAACTTTGAAAATTAAATTAACAATTTTTTATTAAAAGTAAATTAATTTTTACTTCAAATAATATTTTTTTAATTTTAAAAACTAAAATTAACTACAACAACTGTTTTGTTTAAAAAGAATGTATTTTTACTTCAAAAATATTTTTGTTAACTTTTCAAAACTAAAATTAACTATCTTTCAAAATAAACTTTATTTTTACTTCAATAAAATTGTATTTTTTACTTTTAAAAATTAAAATTAACTAAAACCAAAAATAACAATTTTAAAAAACTTTATTTTTAAATAAATGAATATATTTTAGTTTATTTAGGTATCTATTTCTACTTCTAAGAATTTTATTTTTTATTTTTCAAAACTAAAATTAACTGTAGTTAATTTTTTAACTTTTAACTTTTTAAAAAATTGTTTTTGATTCAAAAAAATTTATTTTTTGCTCATCATAACTAAAATGAACTAAAAACAACAATTATCTTTTAGAACAAACTCTATTCATTATTTAAAAAAATTTACAATTATTTACAAAATTTACAATTATTTTTACATTTAAAATTTACATTTTCAAAAAGAAAACTTCTTTCTAAAAACTTTAAGTTTCACTCTTCAAAGCTGAAATTTAACAATAAAATTAACTTTTCTTTCTTTAAAAATCTTAATTTTTACTTTTCTAAAACTTAACTCTTGCTTTTTAAAAACTAAATTATAAAAAAAACGAACTGGGAAAATAATAAAAATAGTTAAAAAAATTATTATAATAATAAATTTAAAAATAAAAATTAGTTATAATTTAATTTTCAGTTAATTTTAGTTTTGAAAAGTAAAAAATAAAATTTCGAATTAAAAATAAATTTTTTGTAGATGGTTACCTAGTTTTTAGTATTCACTTAATTTTTGTTTTGAAAAATAAAAAACTATAATTCTTTGAAGTGAAAATAAAGCTTTTTATTTAGACACTTACTTAATTTAGTTTTTAGTTAATTTTAGTTTTTGAAAAATAAAAAAAACCAATTTCAGTTTTTACCTCAAAAAATGTTATTTCTTCCTACTTGTAAAAACTTTACTTTTCTATCTCTCAAAATAAAAAAGAAATTTATTTTCGATTATGGTAAATATAATAGAACATCACAACTATGAATTATTTATTTTCACACTTAATTCACTTCCAATATTGAAAATAAATGTATTCTTGTCAAGAATGTATTTAGTAATATTTAAAATAGCTCAACAAATAAAAATAAATTATTCTTCATCAATTGACACGTGCGAATGTGTACGTTTTATATATATAAATAAACGATCAAACATTTAAGAAGATCGTTCAAAGTTATTCGTGAAAATTTTCTTGTATTGAATTCCTTCAAAATGAATCACTTCCCGTATTTTATCGAACATTAAAATCCTTACGAGAGGTTTTTTTTATTGATGCGATGGAATAGTAAAAATTAAATGCATAGAAAATTTTTCTACAAATATCTCTACAAATTATTTGAATTTTCCCAGAATTTTTCTACACATTATTTTTTTTTTTTTTGCATTCGAGCTGATTTTTGTACTAAATAATTTTAAATAAAAAAAAAATACTAGGTAATTTTTTACAATTTATTTTATTTTACAAACAAATAAGAAAAAGAAAAATAATTTTAAAAATTAAGAAATTATTAGTATTTTTCTTTAATTATTTATTTTTATTTAAAATTTTCTAGCATAAAAATTGTTCGATACAATTTCTCACGATCAAAATGCTCACTCCGCTACTCGCATCAGTAATTTTTAAAAAATATATTTTTATTCCAATTAAATCAGTTGATGATTTGAAGAATCAATTGTAAAATTTGTTGGTATGCCATTGAGTGAAATTTGTGGATAAATAAAAAAAAAAAAAATTCACTTCAGTGACCTAGTCTCCTTCTGTCATGTATACGTTTGTTGTTGTGCTTATGTAAGTAACGCACTACGTATAAGATTTTTTTTTTTTTTTTTTTTTTTTTTTTTAAGAATTTCAACGACAGATGCGTTGGATTTGTATACGCACCAGTCGTGAAACTAAAAAGTGGGGGAGGCAGCTATTTCAAAACCTTCCAGGCTATGATACTGCTGCTTTCCATGGCACATAGTATAGATATATATTCAAAATTCTTTTTCCTCACTGGGTCAAGAAGCTGTCGCAAGATTTAGTTTTTTCTTCTTCTTTTTGTTAAAGTCTTTTTCTAAACCTCGAGTTTTTGGAATATTTTTCATTCGCTACATTATTATTTCTTTAGTCATGATGTATTTTATTAATATTTTAGTTTGTTAGTTCCTTTATTATTTCCTCATAGAGGAAGTATTTTTTTAATTTTATTTTCCATTTTTTTATTGTTTTTTACTTCACTTTTTTATTTTTTTATATTTTTTTTATTTCACTTTTTTCTATTTTCATTTTTTTTATTTTACTTTTTTTAAACATTTTTCTATTATTATTTTTTTTTATATTCAAAATAACACAAAATAAAAATAAATAAATATAATGAAATAAAAAACATACCTAATAATAAATAAAAAAAATAAATACAAAATAAGACGATTACCAAAATATCTAATAGAAATTAAAATAAAAAAAAATTGCTGAAAAATGGAATTTTGAATATAGTTTGATTAATAAAATTTGGCCCCAGGTGTTTGAAAACGACATCTATATTTTCTGTTATTAGCACATATATAATAACAAATTATTATTTATCTAAATTGAAAGTAAATATTTACTTTAATAGAAATTGAAACTGATTAAACTTTTCGAATGAAATTTTCAATTGTTAACAAAGGATAACAGAAAAGCTAAATACAACAATTTGGCAAAGGTCCCAACCAGCTGGGTAACCACTTAAGTGGTATACGTGCTTATATCAGATTATGCGGGGAGCTCTTAAATGGCATTTCATTAACAACTTTTTCAAGTCTTTTTAATTTTTAATTCCTTCATTCTGAAGTAAAGCTTTTAAAAGTCTCTTCTGTGCGAAATTATTCATATCCTGCGTGATTACTTTCATTTATAAAAGGAATTTTCTTTATTCCATACGTTTAAGCAGTGAAAGGGATCTATTAAGCGTTATTTCACACACAGCTCTATAAAGTTCGGAAAATAAAAAAAAAACTAATTTATTTACAAACTGTGTTTTTTTTTATTTTTTAAAATATTTTTTATTGTTTTCTCTTATTTATATGTTTTTTTTAATTTATTTAATTATTAAGAAAATTATTACTTAGTGTTACGTCACTGTAACCAATAATAATAATAATAATAATAATGATAGTAATGATAATTATAATAATAGTAACAATAATAATAAATTTAATAACAAATAATAATTATTATTTATATATTGTTAATTCTAATTGTTTAAACTAATAGTTTAGTTATTTAACAATAATTTATTTAACATTATTTAGTTACATTAACAAATTGCAACTTTTTTTATTCAATAAAATTGTTATAACAAATAATAACAAACAATAATTGACAAATAATAACAAATTGTAATAAAAAATAATAACAAACAATAATTAACAAATAATAAATTGTAATAACAAATAATAATCAGCAAATTACAAAATTGAAACAAAAAAAAAACAAATTATTATTAACAATTAACAAGATTGTAATAATAAATAATAAGAAATTGTAATTAACAAATAACAGAATTGTAATAATGATAGTAACAAGTTGTAACTAACAAATAACCGATAACAAAATTGTAATAAGTAATAACAAATTATAATTAACAAATAACAACAAGAATTGTAACAATAAATAATAAAAAATTATAATAACAATTAATTGTAGTTGATAATTAACAACAAATACCATTTAATTGACTTAAATACAAATTATTTGATTCAAGTAAATATTTATTTAATTAAATATTTATTTGATTCAAGTAAATATTTATTTGACTCAAGTAAATATTTATTCGATTCAATTAAATATTTATTAGATAATAGACAATTAATCGGTTAGTTAATTCAAATAAATTTTTTTCTCAGTGTAATTTATTTATTATTGTATTAATATTTATTAACAATTCATTAAATTGATTTTTTTTTAAAGTGCAAAACTTTATTTATCACGTAAAAAATAAAATAAATTTAAAAATAAAAAAATAAAACAATTAATGATTTCAGATAATGAGTATTGAACTTTTAAAGAAACTTAACTAAAAAATACATTAACTTTGTATCTAGCTAAATAAGTATCGTCAACGTATGAAACAGATGATGCAGTTTTCATTTTTGAAATTTAATATCTATTTTACAAAATATGTCATATATGTTTGTGTGCGCTATTATAATAATAATACTGTAAACATAATTCATTAAATAAATAACAGACAAATAGAAATTTGAGTAGAAATTTACCTCTCCAACATCTTTCGCTCCTTTTATGCTCTGGCCCTTGTTATCCTTTCTGCAGCCTTTGGCGATCCTGTGGGAAATGAGAAATTCAAAATTTCACGACCTCAATTTTCCGCTATTTTATTTGTGCGCCAGCAACTTCTTGTATAAGGCTTTGATTGCAAAAAGAATTAAGGGCAGCTGCTCTATTATTAAATTTATAATTATTTTTTGTGGCAAAAGAAAAAAATCAACAGCCCTCATGAAGAAGCATTTTTAATTTAATATACATTTAGATTAAATTTAACGGCGCACTTACGAATAATATTTTTTTAAATATTATTTTATTTATTAATAAATAGATAATCGCAAAATTAATAATATTAGGTACAATATTTATAATAGTTATTAACAAATTAATAAGTAAATAAATAAAATAAATAAATCTAATTTATTATTATTATTAAATAATTATTCATTTATTTAAGTCTAATAATAAATTTATTTAATTTACTAAATTTCGAATTTTTAAATCACTCCCTATTATATAAAAAAATTTCGTAGCCACTGACTCAGGGTTTCTTAAGGCCCCCCCTTGAGGGCCGATAGATTACGTTAAAATTGAGGTCAAAATAAATGATATTATACATATGGAAAATAATCGAAAGAAGAATTATTGTATTTTGATTAAAGTGGATATGTACACTCTACATAATTGGATGTAAATCAGCATTTTTTTTCGCCCAATTACTTGAACGTGGTTAAGGGGTAAACATGCCAACGAATCTCTAGAGAATCTTAACTGGTCGAACAATATATTCTACTCCTTGGGGAAACCTCCATTTTGTTCAAGCTGAAATCCCAGAAACGTTAGTTAAATTATTATGTCTGAACTCTTAACTTTTGTAATTAACGATTTTTACTCCGTAACAATGACCCACAACACTTCATAAGTAGCAGTTTTTGATTACAAATTTAATTTTTTTTTCCAGAACAATTTTTTTTACATTTGGAAAAATTTAATTAATTTCTATTCAAATTAAATTACATTAGCAATCAATAAGGAAATAAATCGAAGAGTCAATTAATAATAAATAATTTTAATTCAATTTAAATTTAATTAAAATTATTTATTTAATAATAACTAAACGTTAAAACTCACGCGACTATTGATACATTTTTTTTCACCTTAAACAACTATTTAACTAATTTTTAACTACTTTTTATTTATTTATTTTAGCTTTTTTTATTAATAAGTTACTAATGAAACTTATTTCGTTAAATAAACCACTAATGGTACTTTTTCCAAACGAATATCCTGACATTCAATATAGAGACGCTAATCTCCACCTGCGAACGCCAAGGTCACCGCTAGATGGCAGTTTTCCTTCTTGGAATTTTCACTGCCATCTGGTGGTGACCTTGACGTTCTCAAGTGGAGCAATCAAACCACCATTTTAACGCTCAAAAACTTTTCTATAATAAAATAATAAACAAATCAATAAACATTATTCTTTATTTATTGAATAATTAATATTTGATTTATGGAAAAATAAAAAATTTTGATTACATAAAAAAAGAAATTCTTTTTCTTTTTTTATGTATATTTTTTCATATTTAATATAATTTAAAAACAGGAATAAATCTCGAGAGATGTGCATATTTATTATGTGTCTAATAAACTATAAGTCGTTCTATAGATTATAATTGGTTTTAAGTTTAGATAAAATGAGGTAACTTCCGGTTTTGAGAGAATAATAATAGTTTTCATATAGAGAGAGAGAGAGATAAAGGTAGGTGTGAGCAATACTGCCTATAATTATCGCGTCCATTTCAATCACTGTAACTGAGTCGCCAAATGCCCATCTGAATTATTATTCCAATAAAGTTTAAATATTTATAGAATAATTTATTTAACATTCACGTCTGGTTTTCAACTAATATACAGAAAATGATAGAATCAAGAAACTGTTTTCGTCGATACATACTGCAATTTTCACGCGTACAAAAAATTCTTATTTCCTTTATCTTTATTTTATTTTTTATTCTATTTTCTATTTGTTTTTTAGTGTTTTTAACTAAAATTCTTCTATAAATCCATTATTTTTAATAATCAATTAAATATATATTTAAAAAAATTAACTAATTTCAAAAGAATTTTAGTTTTTAACATTTTTTTTAAATTCAAGTTTTTTTTTATATTTCTAATTAAATTCATTTAAAATTGAAATTTTCTATTCTATTTTCTATTAATTTTTCTCCTCCATTATTATTTAAAAAAAAAAAGTAATTTTTATCATTTCGAAAGAATTTTTCTTTTGCAATTAAAAATTAGGAAACTCGATATATGTGTATTTTTATACTTTTTTCCACACTATACTAACGAAAATTATTGTAGGAACGTGAAATCAAATTTACAAAAGCTTTTTGGTATTTTAAGTGGGTTAAATAAATTTTCCCTAATGGGTTACGAGATATGTGTAGCGGTTGGAAAATCATTATAACTATTTGCGCAATGCTAACTTAATGTAATTAAAGTTTGTAATTTTGAAAAAGAAATTACAAAAAGGTAAATAGAAGTAAACAAATAAAATATAAAAAAGTAAATAAAAGTAAAGAATAAAACATAAGAAAGTAAATGAAAGTAAAAAATTAAATATAAAAAAGGCAAATAGAAGTAAACGAATAAAATTTAAAAAGTATATAAAAGTAAAAAATAAAACATAAAAAAGTAAATAAAATAAAAAATAAAAATAAAAGAAAGTAGATAAAAGAAAAAAATAAATAAAAGTAAAAAATAAATAAAAATAAAAAATAAATAAAAATAAAAAATAGCAATACTAATAAAGATTATGCAACTAATTAAAACAAACATATTTTCATGATAAATTTAGTATATATTGATAGTGTAAATAATTAATAAAAAAAAACCTGTTTATAAAATTGAAAATCATAGACACATGTCGATTTTACTTTGCAGGAAGATAAACATCCTGATGCAAATATACTGATGTTATAACGACTGAATTTGAAAAATTTCTTAAGAAAATTATACGATTGGTGGGTTATATTTGACTTTTAATTTTCATATGAGATTGAAGATCAAGTTAAGCTCGAAACAATCCACCCACGCATTAAATGTCTTTTATAAATCATTTGATAAACTGACGACAATAATTATCATAACTGTCAGTATCTAATTTTTCCGATTTTCTGATTTCAAAACACGAAAATTTCTATTTTTATCATCATTATTTTTAAATGACTAATTATTTTTATTGTTTCTATTTTTCTATTCTATTATTTCTATTATTTTATTTCTATTTATTATTTTTATTTTTTTTCTATTTATTTATTAATTTCTAGTTTTTAATGAAAATTTTTCTTTTATTCATATAAGATTTAAAAAAAATTCTGTAATATAAAAGTCAAAAATTCTTTATAAACGGACGTCTCACCAATAGTGGAGTTTACTACTTATATGTGCACTGAAAAAAAATTTATTTCATTCAAATAAATGATTATTTTTCTAAAATAAAATTTGCTATTATCAAATTGATATATTTATTTGCATCAAATAATTTTTTTTTCAGTGCAGACTTCGCACTCGATAATTAATTTTAAAATAGCAAAAACTAGATTTCAAACTACTATTTTTTTTACAAAAAATTAGTAAAAAAAAAAGCTATTAAAAAATTAAACTTGACGACCAAAAAAACTTCACAAAACTGACAAAAATTCTATTCCATTATTTTTAATTTTTCTGACTTTTTCCTAATTTTCATCAAAAATATTTACTTCTTTCCTATCCTACTGCTAATAAATTGAATTCCTGCAACGAATATTATTATTCATCAAAGAATTTAAATATTTATAATAAATAATTTAATTATTGCGAAGAATTTTATAAAAAATTGTAAATAATTGATTTCTTTCGACTAATTTTATGCAAATTCTAATTTAAATAATAGAATTCCTGAGAAATTTTTAATATTCATAAAAAGAATTGAATTCTTACGAAGATTTTTACAAAAAATTTTTAAATAATTGAATTCTATTTGGAAATTTTATGAGAATAGTAAATTTATTGAAAATCATTGAATTGCGAAAAGTTTTCAAAAATAATTAAATTTTACAAAGAATTCAATTAAAATTTTTTACAATAATTGAATTCTTGCGAACGATTTTATTAGAATTTTTTTAAATAATTGAAATTCCAAGAAGAAATTTATTACTTTTAAAAATAATTCAATTCTTCTGAAGAATATTGTCATATTTATGAAAATCATTGAATTTTACAAAGAATTTTATTAAAATGTCTCAAAATAATTGAATTTTCGAGAATAATTTTGTTATTTATCTTTAATAATTGAATTCTTTCAAAGAATTATTTTTGAAAATAATTGAATTCTTGTGAAAAACTTTATTTGTGAAAATAATTGAATTTTTCGATTAATTAATTTAAAATAGTATTACAAATAATTGAAATTCTTTAAAAAGTTTTATTATTGATGAAAATAATTGAATTCTCGCTTCGAATTTTATCAAATTTTTTTTTTTAAATTTGAATTTTCATAAAAATTATTATTATTAGTGAAAGTAATTGAATTATTGTGATATTGTATTAAAATTTTATGGAATAATTGATTTTTTCGGAATTTTTTTGAAAATGCTATTCTAAATTTATTGAATTTCTGTGGAAAGTTTATTATTTATAAAAATAATTAAATTTCGAATGAATTTTATCAATTTTTTTTAAATAATTGAATTGTTATACATAATTTTATGAAAATACTAGATATTGAAAATAATTCAATTTCGAATATTTTTTGAAAAAAATTGAATTTCGAGTATTTTTTGAAAATAATTGAATCGTTTTAAAGAATTTGATTATAATGTTTAGGTTAATTTTTTTTATTTCTAGTTTCAACATTCAAATAATTATTATATTAATTATAATCAAATAATAAATTACTTGATTTTTATATATTTGCTCCATAATTTATTTCTTTTTATTTTTTGGAATTATTTTTGAAATTTTTTTCAACACAAAAAAGAAAAATATGAATGTAAAATTTTTGATTTATATGTGAATCCCATGAATAGACAGAAATCGAGAAAGGCATTAAGATTGCGCTCTAGCGAATATTCTTTGGATATGCGTATATAAAGAATTCTTTTTCTTTTTCATGGGAAAAAGTTTTCACATATATAAGAAATAAGAATCTTCGACAATGGCCAACTTTTTTCGTTCACTGCATAAATTGTTCTTTTGAAAACAACACATTATTTATAAAAAGAAAAAATTTCCTATTCCCATTGTCTCTGTTCTTTGTGAAGGAAAAAATTTAAAAATTAAAATATCTTTTGTAAGTATATAAATATATAATTTTTATAAATAAGTAAGATTGATGGTTTGAAAGGAGAAGAAAAATATGAAAATCGATTCATCATCGAGACATGTCACGGGCGCTATTTTTTAATAGTATTTCTTTTCTAAAAGCGTGAATAGAATTTTTTATTTTTTTAATATTATGAAAATTCATACTTTTTTTGAATTTTAATATTATAAGAATTCTCCAGAGTTTTTTTTAAATTCTCTTTTTGAGATTGATGGAAAAAAATATATTCTCTACGGGGAAATTAACTACTCTCTAAATTTGAATTAGTAAAAATGTTTACCAGTTAGAATTAGTGACTGACTTTTTGCTTTTGAATTAGTAAATTTTACTAAAAAATGATTTTTTTTTGAATTAGTAAATTTTACTGAAAATCATTTTTTAGTAAATTTTACTAAAAAATGAATTTTAGTAAAACTTACTAATTTAAAAGAAAAAAGTCAGTCACTAATTCAAATTAGTAAAGATTTTTACAAATTAAAATTTAGAGAGTATATAATTATATATTTGGAGATTAAAATATTTTCAAGTAGGTTATAGAATTACTTTTAGTATTAAATAATTATTTTAATGAAGAAGGTGCCGAAAATTGAACTCAAGCGATTTTTTATTTTACAGAAAAGTATTTTTAAAAATTGCTAAAAAATCATTAAATAATTTTTTATTTTTTTTTTTTATTTAATTTTGAATGTATTGAATGAAACTTGACGTTTCTCTCGTTTCTTTGTGCAGGCTCGCAACAAACCGGCTGATGGTCTAGGTCATGTTAACCAAAAGGGCTTACAGGGACAAAAAGCTCCTCTGGCACCGGGACAAAAGGTAGCGCCTGGTGCTAAAGGAGCCGCGAAACCGGCACAGAAACCTTCTGCACAAAAAGGTCAGGTCAAGGTCACACCGAAAGCAGCATCTGTTAAAACTGGCAAGAACAAAAAGAAGGGACACAAACAACAGTACGATCTTCGCGTCACTATCAATTTGGTAAGTTTTTCTGATGCATTTTACAATTTATATTGTTAACAACTATAACTAAAATTTACAAAAAAAAAAAAATTTATTAAAATTAAAAAATTAAAATTAAAAATTAAAATTAAAAAATTTACAATTTTTTTTAAATTAAAAAAAGAATTACAAATATCAGACCTCGAATCAGTATTTAAAACTACTAAATACTTTTAAATACTAAAAGTATTTAAAAATACGGACTTTACGGACCAATTACTGACAAAAATATAACCAGTCCGAGTCGAATAAAAAAATATTTTACTTCAAACTTGAAATTATTCATAAATAAAAACTTCAAAAAATTCAATTAAACTTTTTCAAAAAAATTTGTAAATAATTGAAATCCTTGTGAAATTTTTATTATTTTATGAAAATAATTAAATGTTTACCGCGTGGAATTTTATTAAAATTTTCCAGTGAGACATAAAAATGAAAAATGTAAATTCTCTACAGACGAAATTAAAAAATTGTTGTAAAACTAAATGACTATTTCCGGTATTCTACTCGATTTTTTTTTTTCTTTAATTTTTTAACCCATTTTTCTTGTATCAGAGGAAAATAATTGTCGCCTCAGCGACAAGTTCCATGACATGTTGTTAAATGCCACAATTTTAGAAGAGATGCTGTTTCAAAAATAGACGCTATGAGTCGTTTAACCAATGCGGGTGGATCACTAAAGACCTCACTTTATCTTTGGAACTCTATTAATAAATAAAACTTTTTCTAAGGGATATTTAGAAAAAAAACATGGTGAAAATTAGTAAATTTACGATTGTTATGAAAAATGCGAAATATCTTTCCTTTGACGAGAATAAAATCTTACTAATAGTTCGTAGTTTTCATAAACGACTTTTCCTTTCAATTAGTACATTATTAATTAATTATTTTTTGATGATTTAAAATAAAATAATATTACAAATTAGAAAATTTAAAAAAAATTATAATTAACAAATAAAAAATATATTTTGTTAGTTGTTTATTTCTATAACGAATTTCGTTTGACTGATCTAAATTATTATACAAATTTATTCTCCTTTTTATCTATAAAAAATACTAGAAAATTAATTGTTAAAAAATCTTGATTAAAAAGTAGGAAATATACCCATTTTATGCATAATTTTTATTTCTCAATAACAATATTGTTTACAAACTCATTTTTTTCTTTTGGGAAGAAAAACATTAGATATTCCCGTTTCTTAATATTTTTGTAGAAAATTCTCAAACATAAGGAAATAATTTGCATCAATTCTATTTCTTAATTTCAATTGTTTTAATAAAATTCAAAGATTTTTTTACAAATAAAGGAAAAAAATGTTTATAAATTATATTTGTCAATTAGAAAATTTAATTGAAAATGAAACTGAAAATTTTTAAATTCTTAGAAAATAAAGGAAAACATTTTATTGAAACAAATGTTTTGTTGAATTTATTTACGAATATCTTTAAATTGTAAAATTATTCGAAAACAATAATTTCATTTTTAAATATTTTAAATTTTTAATTATTATTATTTTTCCATAGGCATTAAAATTCTTCAAAACATTCAAATTCAAACCTTTTTGAAATTAATCAACTTTAAAAATATTGTTATAAAACATAAAGAGAATTGAGTATTAAAATAATTATATTATATTATTTATTTATTTATTTAAGAAACATAACGGGACATGCCCTTTCGTACAAAAGTACTCCTAAATCTAATATAACAATGAATTTTTAACTTAAATCTAGGTTGAAACTTTTTATGTGCAAATTAAATAATCTCAGTTTCTATTAAACATTATGTTACGCAATGCCGTTGTGAACCTTGTAACATTATTATCAAAGAAGTTTATTTCATTAGAAATTAAATTAGCTTCTCTAGTGAGTTATAATATTATTAATATTATAAAAATATTATTACTGTAACTATTCTTAAAAAATATTTTCACATTCTATTATCATCTAAAATTTAAACTAAATTTTAGAATTTAGATTAACCTAAATTTTAAATTCGTAAAATTTTCATTATAAAATTCTACGAGAATTCAATTATTTAAATACAAAAGTAAATTATTTATTAAATAATTGAATGTTTCTTAAAATTTAATTCTTATAAAGAATTTTAATACCAAATTTTTAAATATTTGAATTCTTTTGATGAATTTTAATAAAATTTTTTAGAATAGTTACATTTTTCAAGGAATTCGATTAAAATTGTATTAAAAATAATTGAAATTCTGCGATAAGTTTTATTATTTATGAAAATAATTAAATATTAGCGTAGAATTCAATTGAAATTTTAGAAATTGAAATATTTCAAATTAATTGAATTCTTTTTTAAAATAATTGAAATTTTGACAAGAATTTTATTATTTACGAAAATAATTGAATTATTATGAAAATTTTATTTTAAATAATTGAATTATTGTGTAAAACTTTATTTGAGAAAATAATTGAATTTTTCGATTGATAAATTTAAAATAGTATTAAAAATAATTGAAATTTTTCGATGAATTTTATTATTTATGAAAATAATTAAATTCTTGTGAAGAATTTTGTTCAATTTTTTGGAAATAATTAAATACTTTTTAGGAAATTAATTGAAATTCTATTTTTTAAGAATAATTAAATTTCTATAAAGAATATCAGAATTTAATAAAAAATTGAATTCTTTACAAGAATTTTATTAAATTTTTGAAAAATAATTGAATTTTTATAGAATTTTATTAAATTTTTTGAAAATAATTGCAATTTTGAAAAGAATTTGTTTACAAATTTTTCAAAATAATTGAATTCCTGCAAAAAATTTTGTTATTTATGAAAATAAATTTGAATTAAAAATTTTTACATTGTACTATTTTTAAAATTGCTAATTTTATTTTAAAAAGTGAGTAAAAAATTATAAATTGAGCGTTGAACGAGTTGTTTCATTGGAGTGCTCAATTGTTGCTAGTGATTAAACTAATTGTCAGTAAAATTTCACTAATTACAAAATCATTTGGTGAACGACTTTTGGTCATTTCATTACTAAACTTTCTATGAATTCAGATTTTGAGAGTAATAATGACCTAAAATGTAGGGCTTTTAGTTAATGAAAAAAATGTTTAATAAACTAAATAATAAATAAAGAAACGATCGATATTTAAATTAATAACTAATGGAAATATATTTTATTAATATATATATATACTGAAAAATAAGAAGCAATTCCAATGATTATAATGAGTTCTAAGAAGTAAGCGTTTAAATTTGACCCACATTGAGCATAGACACTGCGGTAATAATCAATCGACAGGTTCTTAGCACTCAATTGGAACTTGGAATTCAACATCGACTGAGTACTGACACACCATTAGTGGGATGATGCACGTTATTATAAGTGCAGATTATTATCAGTCTTGAAATTCATTCTCGCACAAATAAAGTCCTTCACTTTCGTATAATACTTACTCTCCAAATTTCAGTCAGTTAAAAATTATAGTTTTAACCAAAATCAGTGAATGACTTTTTGCTTTCGAATTTTTTTGAAGTTAAAAATAGTTAACTGAAAAATGAGTTATAATTTATTATTTATTTTTTAACTTAACTAATTTAAAAAATTTACCAAAACATGAGTTATTTTAAAACTAAATGTTAGTCGAAATATTACTATTTGAAATAGTGATTTTTTGCTTCTAAATCAGTTATTTTTAAGTTTTAACTGATTGAAATTTATAGAGTATGGCAATAAAATAATAACTGAATAACAATTTCAGTCAAAATTGATTACCTTTAACATTTATACATTCATGTTAAAATTAAAAGCGTTGAAATGAATTTCATTAATACTTTATGCACATAAATATAGGTGTCTATATTAAAAGCCCACATTGGAATACAAACAATAAAGGATGGTATTCAAATTTCATTGCCTCGGATGTGGGAATAAATAATAGATTATAAAATAATTTTCAAACAGGATTCTTAAATAATAGTGAATGCTAAATATTAATTATTTTTAATTACCGGTGGTTATTTAGCGACCTAGTATGGTTAAAATCAACGATAGTTTCAGTCGATTAGCTCCAAAATTTATAAATAGCGGATTTCATGACGATAATAATTTTAACGGTTGATAGTTGAAAATTATTACAATTATTAGCACAAATAATTATTTTTTTCAAACACAGCTGCCTTTGTACTATTCTACAAAAAGCTACTGTTTACTATACTTTTTTACGATTCGATACTATTTGGATCTTCTTTTGTATTTTGTGCCACAAAAAAACTATTTTTTCTGTTTTTTTCTTTTTGAGAATAATTTGCACTACTTTAAAAGCGATAATCGTGTGAACCGAAAGTAATATTTATTTTTTTCATAATAATTATAAATAATAATTATAATAATAATTATAATTATAAATTTTTTTTACCAATATAGGATTTTTTATACTAAATTTTTTCTTCATCACTCAAGTTAATCTGATCGGATCAAATTTTAGTAGATTCAAATTTCACTCGATCCAAATTGTCAACAATTAAAGTTTGCGTTTAAAAAACTATAATTAATTAAAATTAAATTTTCTAATATTCTTTATAGAAATTCAATTATTCACAATAGAATTTCAATTAAATTTCTAAAAAGTTCATATTTAACTATTTTCAAAAAAAATTGAACAAAAGTCTTCACAAGAATTCAATTATTTCCATAAATAACAAAATACTTCGCATAAATTCAATTTTTTAAAAAATATTTTTAAAATTCTTCGCAACAATTCAATTATTTCCAAAAATTGTAGCAAAATTTTTCCTAAGAATTCAATTATTTTCATAAATAATAAAATATTTCGCAGGAATTCGATTACTTTTGAAAAATTTAAATTAAATTCGTCCCAAGTTTTCAGTTTTCAATTAATTTCGAAAAATTTAATAAAATTCTTGGAAAGAATTCAATTATTTTGAAAAATGTTAATAAAAATTCAATTCTTTTCAATAGAATTTTAATTAAATTTCTC